GCGTATCACCACTGTGAATGTGCAGATGTGGAGGTTTGTACGAGATGCCATTAGAATGTGGGTGAGGGGGTACCAAATCCATGGGGCTGGGAAGGAAGGGGTGCCCAAAGATCCTGTGTGGGAGATATTGGAGGTGGGTCTCGAAGGAAGAGAAGAGGTTGGTCAGATGGAGAAGTGGGGGCAAGAAGTAGCATGTGGAAAGGCTGGAACTGTGATGATGGCTGCCAAATTCTAAGAGCAGGGAGCAGCTTGGTGTGTCTAGTGTAGGGTGTGTGTATATATGTCCATGCATGTTGGGGGAGGGAAGGCAGAGATGAAGCGGGGGTTAGTTTGAGAAGGACCTAGGGGGCTATGCTAAAGAGTTTGGTCTTAATCTGTGTTCTGTTTTCTGTGTGATAATTTATTTTAAAATACTTTAAAAGTTTAGTATAAATGATGTGATGTATTTAGGCATAAATTAACTTTTATCTATACCCTAGATGTAATAAGTTTGCACCCTAGGTGTACTAGTTTGCTTTTGAAGAATCCATATCATGAATCTACACTTCAAAATTGGTCCCCAACCATTTCAAATAATTTTCCAAAACTTTATCTTAAGATTTCATCAACTGGTATAGGGGATGTTAGAAATAAGATGCATGGTTGGCTAGAAAGATTATACTCGCCCTATGAACCCGCTCTGAAGAAGGTGGAGGAATCCCACAGGCCGTGCTGGGAACAGTGCTCCAGCTCTGGGATGCTATTGGTTCTGAGTGCCTTCTTCCTGGAAGACGCTGTCACTTGCCCAACTAGAAGGTTAGATGATTCTGTCATCAGAGTGTAGTGTCCACTCAAAGTGAACCTACCAGGCAAGATGCTGGACCTAGCTAGTGGAGACTGCCAGTACTTACTAAAAGAACCTGTCAGTTGATGTATTTGTCAGTTGCCTAATGGCCTTAGGTCAGTTTGTGACAACCCAGTAAGCAGTGGAGACCACTGGAGATTATCAAGTATGACCCCAGCAGACCGTCAGCATTTTGGAAAGATCCCTCTCGGGAAGGAAGGAGTGGTGGGCTGGAATGGGAGACCCCATTGGATTCTAACCCTCCTACAACCTGTGTTTTGTATACTTGCTTCTCTTCCTCTTCTTCCTGTAGATTTATACCCAGATTCTGCTGATAGCCCTTTGGGGTGGGGTATCAGGATAGCATAGGGGTGGGCAGCTGCATATGGAAGTTCTGAAAAAGCTCCTGAGCTGGTTCTGATCTGTCTACCTCTGCTTCCTCCGGGTGGGATTTGATGGTGTGGGGAGAAGAATATCAGGGCTAAGGAGAGAGGACAGGGTTTTTTTTTTTGTGGGGGGGGGGGCGGGGTTGTATCTATATCATGTCTCCTCAATTTTTATGATTGTGAGCAACTTGAGAATAGAATGTGGAATTTGAAATAATAAGCTCCCAAAGTTTGATTCATCCAACTTTTGGTTAAAAATACAAATAAACTGTTGGTCACAATGGCGTTTGAAAGGCCTGGGGAGAAAAAAGTCAAACTCTTTGTATTTTCAATGTGCTGGTCTGGATAAACCTGGGAGAACAGTTATATTCCAGCAATTTCTTGAGCACAATGAACAAAGAGACCAGACAAGTGGTAAAAGGTCATATTTAAATTGGTACAAGCTCTGTTCGTGTTATATTTGCTTAAAAAATAGGAAGAAGTTCATCCTTAGTTATACATTTAATGTTAATTACATTGGGCTATTTGTTCAAAGTTAAGACAAAGTTCCTTATATTTTCTCCCTGGAACGTGATTGTCTACTGGTTACATTTAGTCAATAAATTATATTTGTTGTAGGATATGACATTTATTCATTCAAATTGTAGATGAACTGTGTTCATCAGATTCATCACCATATAAATCGTGTAGGTTCTTCTGACATATAGAAAAATCTCAGAGTCCTGTGTCTGTTTTTTCTTGCCAGCTGCATGTCAGCATCTGACTTTAAAAAGTAGTAAACCATGACTGTTACACAATATATGGTGAGCAAGAGTCAAAGGTATAGTCAACGAGGGACCAGGATGAGAAAGCAAGTTCAAAGGAAGATATATATGAGAAACTGATGTGGAAAAAATGAAAGTTAGAATAAGGTGCAGAATTAGATTAAAAAAATCAAAAATCAAATCAAAACTAGTTAATGTCTTACAAGGCAAAAAACCCCTGAAATCTTTGGGGTTATCTTTTCAACCATACAGAAAGCATTTGTAATTTATCGATGTTCTGCAAGTTACCACCTGTGTTAGTTCCCTATTGCTGCTGTAACAAATTACCACAAACTTGGTAGCTGAAAACAACACACATTTATCTTACAGTTCTGGAGTCAGATGTCCAAACTGGGTCACACTGGGCTAAAATTGAGGGGTCAGTGGGGCTGCATCCTTCTGGAGACTCCATTTCATTGTCTTTTTCAGCGTCTAGAGACTGCCTACAGCAAGACCTACCTTTGCAGAGTCTGAAACCTAATGAATGGTAAATACCTGAAGTTGCATTTCCCTAGAGTAGTACTGTCCAATATAACTTTCTGGGATGATGGCTGTGGTCTCTTTGTGCTGTTCAATATGGTACCCGCTCGCCGCACCTCGCTACTGAGTACTTGAAAGGTAGCCAGGGCAACTAGGGAGCTGAATTTTTTGTTTACTTAATTAAAATTTAAATTTAAATAGCCACATGTGACTAGTGGCCCCCATATTGGACAGGGCAGCCCTAGAGCATCAGATTACTCTTTAGTGGGCTCACTGGACAGTACTGGAGTATGACATTGAAAGGTCACAGAGTATTTTTTTTTGGCCGTGTTTCCAAGTGTTGGAAAAATTTTCTTAACATGTGCAAGTAAAATAAAAAATGACTCCACAGATTAAAATCCAATAACAATGTGCAGGCTGATTTCTTTGTTAGAGAGCTGTAGCTTCTTTCTTTTTACTTTCCTTAGATCTCCTGGCTCCCAAGTATCTAAGCTGCACAACACAGGTTTCATAGATACTTTGAATGGAGCACATTCATTAGCTCTTCCTTTGTCAAGCATGTGGAGCTATCAGTTTGAGCTAGACCCTGCGGTAAGAGCCGAGTAAAACGCAGTCCCTGCCAGCAGTCAGTGGGCCTTTAGTCTAGAAAGGAGGATACACATGCAGACAAATAGACGGTGTGACGGAAGAACCAGGTACAATAAAAGAGGAAGGGTCCCTTCCACCCCAAAACTGGATCTGTTAGCCTCAGCAGGAAGGTTTATTGGCATTGTACAGAGTGCCCTCAAATTCGTATCCACCTGGAACCTCAGAATGTGACTCTCTTTGGACATAGGGTATTTGCAGATATACTTAGTTCAAATGAGGTCATACTGGATTAGGGTGGACCCTAAATCCAATGATTGGTGTTTTTATGAGAAAGGAGAGTTGGACACAGACACAGGGGAGAAGGCCATGTGTCGATGGCTGCAGAGATTAGAGTGAGGCAGTTACAAGCCAAGGAACACCGGGAGCCAGCAGAAGGGGCAAGGAAGGGTTCTCCCCTAGAACCCAGGGCCCTGCCAACACCCTGACTGCAGACGTCTAGCCTTCAGAACTGTGAGAGAAGAAATGTTCAAGCCACGCAGTTTGTGGGATTTTACGGCAGCTGTAGGGAACTGACACAATTGGAAAGATACTGGCTAGCTTGCAGAACTGAGGGCAGAGCTGAAGAACAGGCCTTGAGGTACATGGGGACAGGGGTACCTCTGAGGGTCTCAGCATCAGAGCTTGTGGACATGCTCTGCACATTTCAGACGTCCAGGCAATCTGCGTACCTCACTCAAGAGTCCAACTCTCAGGGGAGAGACTCTGACCTGCCTTATGCTGTGCCTTTCCCAGCAGCCCTCCTGGAACATGGAGTGGAGGACAGGTGACTTCCCGAAGGAAAAGACCCCAGGCAGATAAAAACAACAGTGACCACTGCACAAAAGATAGCACAGTCCTTTTTGGAAGAAGAAACCGTCTTGTTGAATGCCGCTCTTTTACCCAGTGAGGGCGGTGGTTAGAGATGTTGAGAAAGATTCTCCTGGCAGCTGTGTGCAGGATGGTTTGGAGAAAGACCAGCTAGACAGCTGGTGACATCATCTACATGTGGCGTTAAGGGAGTATGGAGCGCCTGTCCTGCCCCAGTGGCTGTGCCAAGGAAAGAACGGTCTTATTTTGCACTCGGTGATATCTTAATATCGACTCATTCAAGGTTGTACAGAGAGACTGAGAAAATGCCTTTATTTTCTGTCTCCAACTATTTCTGCCTAATTTTTAAACTTTTTTTGCATCTTATAAATCAAAAAGCCTATCTTTTTGCTATTTGTCTACCCAATGACATAAGACAGATCAAGTGTTCATTTTTGCTGTTCCAAGGGTGGAGCTGGAGCCGGTTGTTTTTCCTTAAATGAGAGAAAACCCACTTGGAGCACCCAGACTCAGAAGGCAGAAGTACAAATGCCTCCTGTGTACCCAAGACCCAGGGGGAAGAAATAGGAGGACCCATAGAGCCAAGATGAGCACTAAGGGTTACCGTTGCTCACTATTACTAGTGCTGGGGGACTGCTGACACGGGGAAGGGGGTGGATTGCTCACTTGGTTCAGCAGGTGTAACACAGGGGCAGGATCCAGGTGCTCGTCCTGTCTCCTTAGACTTCCTCTAACATCCCATTTGGGCTTTGTGTTCCATCCATGTGTGGGACCAGCTGAGAGTAGCTTTAATCTTGACAAAGTGGCTGGGTATTCTGGGGCCAGCTATTCCTGAGAAACAGTAAAAGTAGCTAATAAAAATGGTTACACTCTGTGCTTGTGTGAAATTGGCCGGATTGGGATGCTATGAGAGTAAGTCTTTGTACTGTACACTTTTTTCTACTTTTGAACTGTGTGAATGTATTACTTATTAAAAAAATTTAGTAAGTTTCATCTGTTACTAATGCTTATTGAACCCAAAGAACTGGTTTCAAGTAGGTGGTTTCAAAAGTGTCCTTTTAAAAAAGTACTTTATTGATAGCCATGCCATTCAGATTTTTGTGCATCAACTCACATGAAATTTTATTCAGACCCTCTATCTTTAGTGCTTTATAGTTCTCAGCCATGACAAATGGAAAATAAATGCCCAGTAACCATCCTTAGCCCTATAGACCAAATTTTTAAAAATGCAAATTATATTTACCATCATTCAAAATTATATAAATGATAAAACAAATTTCACATTCATATTAGATTATCCAGTTAAGGATTTTATTCTCAAGATCCAAACTTTTATTACTTTCACCCTGGATACTCCTATCAAGTTCCCCAGCTCTTCTGCTCACATAAGCAAAAATCTTGCGTAATTTTTGTCCTGCCCATGACCCTTCGGTTCCTGTCTCCTTCCTCTTTGTGCTCCTGTCCCACTTCCTCCCTTGGACACCTGTGGCCTAGTGGAGCCTCCAAAGTCAGCGGATGGGCCTCTAGACAGCTGTGTCCCAGTCGCTCCAATCAGACGTGCTCATGATGACCTTCCGCCTCCTCCAGGCTGTACCACTTGCCTCATCTTTGCCTTCCCTCGCCCATAGCAAGCGCTCACAGCGCAGCCTCTCCCCCTTCATTCACTTCGGGAGTCCCTGGAAATGGAGGCCTGGTGAGCCTCCTGTGAATTCTGGCTGGTAGACTGGCAGTTTACCCCTGACTTTCTGCTTAAATAAGGCCTAATTCATATACTGATTTCTCCTTCTCTGAAGGCCTCTAAAACTCAGATTAATGGAATTGGTGGATCCTGCATGTTTTAAACTACAACGTAGGGCTGATTATAATTCAGAATTCTTTTGCTGTGTATCACCCACTTCGATATATGGGAAACTGAGCAATCAAGTATTTCTGGAACTCTGATACCATGGCAAATGATTTCCATAAACACATTTAAAAAAATAAAGGGTTTTGAGATAATACATTGAAAATGGTTTACATTGCTTTCTCCCTCCAAATTCCAAAAGAATGCTAACCAGTTGAATAGCTGATCCACAGGAGGGAAATACCACTCCTTTTCTGTCAAATGCGCATGCGCAGACCCATAGCTAACCACAGGGAAAACACGACAGAAGAAAACCCTGTAGAAGTCTTGTGGTGTTGGCGAGCTGTGGCCACAGAATCAAACGTCCCTGGGAAAAGGAGTCACATGTTGATCTAGGGGAAGGGTCTTCACTCTATGACTGTAATCCATGTCACCAGTCCAGTCTGATCGGAGGGACACAGAAAGAAAAAATTCCCCCTTCCTGCAATATTTCCATGACATCTTCAGAGAGAAATCAGCGTTAAATCAGCACCCCTTCCATGGATCTCGCAGTGTTTGTCCGGTCACCTCTAGGCTGGAAAGTCTAAGCACATAATCTGTAAATAATGATTTATCTTGTTCACAGAATCAGACATGAATAATGATCCTAAATTTTGTCATTTCTCTTCCACAACAGTAAAAGAATATCAGTTTGGAGTCCAATTAGGATTAACAAGCCGTCTTTTCACTTGTGAAAAACTGCAACACCTGGAAAAAAAGAAAGATTAACTACAAAACTGTGTGCAAATCCCTCAACTTTTGCGTATGAGGAGAACAATAAGTAGTTGAAAACTTGGATCGGAGGCTTTACGGGTTTGAATAAGGATAGTTAGGCAGTTACTCATTTTCCCTTGGCCTCCATGTCTTTGCGCATAAAGGAAGAAGCTGGATGAGATCAGAGGTGTTCACGCATTTTTAGCAGAGGTTTAAAATGTTGCAGGGACACACACACTAATAGATTTTAGTGTGGTATAAATTTAATACGGCAATGTTTAACTCTTGGTAATAAAGCAAATAAATGAGAACAATTATGCTACTTTGAAGAAAGCAAAAACTTGAAATTACAGGTAAAGAACAGTTAGACTCAGAATGCAATTTATATCTGCCTTTGTTTTAATTGCACAGCATGGAGAATATTCTGACACACAAATAGTTGTAAGTGCTAAAGTGGCAAGAGGTTTTTTTGGTTTTGTTTTTTAAATTTGTCTTGCAATCTGAGGATAGTCATTACTTTAAAGTCTGTGCAAAAACTTGACAACCTGGTTCATTCCCTGGTGGTCTCCACTTTGTTAAACGGCATTTATCGCATCTGAGCGTGTGTGTGTGTGTGTGTTTAGCTGTCCTTTGTTGAATGCTGTGTCACGCACAGTGCTGTGCACTTTACACACCTTGTTTTACGTATTTACATAGGGATTAGGGTGGAGAGAGTAGAGAGAGAACTAGAATTAGACAGAGAACGCTTAAAGAGCTCAGGCATTCTGCCCTCCATACTTGGGAATATGCTTTTAAATTACATTTTATAATTAAAGATATTTAAGAATTTTAAATGTTGCCTGTTTTTATTTTTGTTGTTGTTGTGAAAGGAGAAACAAAAAATCTCATCAATTATTTAGTCTGATTTAGCAAAAATATCAATGCAAAGTTGGTCTCATCTGACAAGCACAATGGAATTAAACATACATATGTTAATACTTGTGGGTCGTCTTAAACGTTTACTTGGAAAATTAGAGTTCGATGAACAAACTTTCTTTTCTCTTAATCTATGACATAGTTCTCTCCTGCTTTCGGTTCTTCTGTTGTTGCCTATTAAGAGTGCAGAAAAGCAGAAGTTTCTCCCAATGAAAATACGTTTCTTTTTTCCGCGTGCATTTCCCGGGAAGTTTTGGAGGCCACTCTCCAAAGCCTTCAGTGGTCTGCGTTTGTGTTGAGCAGCAGTGAAAACTGCAGCAGTTGAACTCAGTGAACACAGGAGAGAACTCTTCTGGCTAGCACTAGTTACTTATAAATGCAGTAATCAAGAGATTTCAATTTGGGGTTTTGCACTCAAGTTGTAAGTGACTCTCAAAAGAATCAGGGAGTAGGATCTTCAAAATATCTTAATCTGCAGCATTCTCATTTTTTTCTTTTTTCAATTTTAAAAATAAAAGGAGGGGCCGGCCCTGTGGCTGAGTGGTTAAGTTCCCGTGCTCCGCTTTGGCGGCCCAGGGTTTCCCGGGTTTGGATCCTGGGTGCAGACATGGACCACTCCTCAGGCCACGCTGAGGCGGCGTCCCACATAGCACAACCAGAGGCACTCACAGCTAGAAGATACAACTCTGTACTGGGGGGCTTTGGGGAGAAGAAGAAGGAAAGACAAAAAAGACAGGCAACAGATGTTAGCTCAGGTGCCATCTAAAAATAACAAAAATAAAAGGAAAGGAAAAACTGCTGTGTTGGGTAAAACACCCTGGGCTTCCTTTGTCAAAATCCACAGCCATGCGTGTTTAGTGTGAAAGGATTAAAATGTTGGGTGAGATTTAAAAATGAAGCTTAATTGACACACTTGAGCAATCCTGAGGTTCCAGGGAACACAGTTTGAAAGCCACTGGACTGGCTCATCTATTTTCCTTTTTGAGCAATTATCTTTCAGCTTATTGATCTTACCTGTCAGGAAATGACAGCAGTGTTATGCTATAGGGATAGACCAAGGTTTAAATGTCTTGGGGTCGTCTCTTGGGATCTAAAAAAGCAAGCAAATGAAATACTTAATATCATAATATCATTGCAATATTTCACTGGGAAAGTTTTATCAAATTTGTAGGTTTTGATAAATTTCTCATAGGAGGAGGCAGGATTTTCCTGGGGAGTGGGACCATACCATTCCTTTCAAATGACAACTCTGAAAAGACAGTGGGTCGGTGTTGTGATGGCTACTGTGCTTAACGTTGACAAGTAAGAGGGCACTTCGATTAGTTACCTATCTGTGTGTGATAGGTACGATCATACATACCTATCAGATGTGAATCCAAAGAATTATATGTCCTATATACAATGTTTGGGAGGCAGGACGGAAAGGGGAAAGTGGTCCGGCTGGGAGCTGTTGCTTGCGAGGGAGCCCACAGACCTGGATTCCTCCGCAGTGGCCTGAGAGCAGCCCCGTCTACCCTGTCAGCCAAATGACTTGTGTGGCACGATGCCCTTGCTAGTTAAGCCCCAGTCTCATTTCACTATCCCGGGTAACAAGCCCCGAGATTTTGACTTGTTGACCCTTCTTCCTTGGGGCCCTCAATGCCTGTCTCCTCTGCTGGGAATTCTCCCTATTAGGTTTGGCAGAAAAGCAGAACATACATTCTTCCCCTCCACTGTTGTCACATTTTCATTTAAAGGGTTGACTTTTAGTTACAAAGGTGTTAAAAACAAAAACTTCTCATAAATAATGGAAAGCTATGAAGATTTTGAAAGGCTTTTCTCCTAATATTTATTTCACAAAAATATAAAAAGAAGAAAAAAAAAATCACCCAACTCCTAAGGGTCAGGATATCTCCCTGAGTTCTATTCTGACTGTTTGCTCTTCATCTGTACTGACACGTAAATAGAGGCCTAGTTGGCCTCTCAGAGGGACTCCCCTTGTCGCGGCTCCGCTGCTCTGCGGGCTGGTGGCCATCTGACTTAGAATGCGCCTGTGCCTGTCCCACCGGGGCTGTGCTGGACCCCGGACAAAGCTCCTCAGTCTAGTCCGAGGTGGATTCAGGTTGACTCTTCTGCTAAAGGTGATGGGAACTTTCAGCCTCTTCCAAAACATGCTTCCTACTCTTTTCCCTGGCCCCGGGCTCCTGGGGTACCCTTCTGCTTCGGGACTTAGACTGATCCTCACTCTCTTGCTGTCCTGGCCTTCTTGAGTCTCACCTTCTCCCTGGCTCCTTGGGTGAGGACACAGCTTTCTGGTTTGGTGTCCAAACCCCAGTCCTGGGACTTCAGCTGCTCTCCATCCGCCTTCGGTGTCCTCCTTCCCTGTACTTTCTCTCTCGCTTGGTGCCGTTATCTCTGTCCTCCTCACTCCTCTCTGTCCCTGGTTGGTGCCCGACAGCTAAGATTAAGGCAATATACTCACTATGGTTGTCAAGACTGATTCTGCTTGCAGCTAAGTCTCTGCTTCTAAGATAACTGGGCCAGGCTCCTTAGCCTCAAGGCCTAGCGTCAGTGGCAGCTGCCATCAGTCTGGGACTCTTCCTCCTCCTCATCGTGCAGTAGAGCATTAACTCGGCAGGGCTGGGTCGTCAAATCCTGCACGTTCCCAAGAAAGGTTCAGCCCTTGACCAATGCCTGGGAGATAATACCTAAGCCAGTGAAATCTCCTGTGTGAGAAGAGTGTCTTTGTTTACCTGGGGCCTTGGGCCACGTGGTTTCATTTGACCTCCGGAAGGGCTGGACACGAGTAACTAAGGTCAGCTATGCACGTGACCTTATGCCTACGTGACTGATCCCTAACACGAAGCCTGGATACCAAGGCTCAGGTCAGCCTCCCAGGTTGGCAATACTTCGTGCATCTTCTCACACATTGTTGCTGGGAGAATTAAGTGCTGTCCGTGTCACTCCACTGGACTGAGGACAACTGGAAGCTCGCGCCTGGTTTCTCCTGGCCTCTGCCCTATGTGCCTTTTTCCTTTGCTGATGTTTATCTGTATCCTTTCAGTGTAATCAGCCATAAGTATGAAGGTAACAGCTTCTCAGTTCTGTGAGTCCACCTACTGAGTCACGGGACTTGATGGTGGTCTTCGGGACTCCTGACTCAATCATCTTCATCAGCAGCAGTAGCATCAATGCATAGTGACCACTTGCTACATGCAACACCTGCTAAATGCTTGTCATGGGTTATCCTTTCAAACCTTATAAAAACGCTGTGAAGTAATTAGAATTATTCTCTCCACACACATCTCCCCCCATTTTATAGATAAGGAAGCTGAGTGATCGGAGAAGTTAAATAAATCACCAGAGGTAGAGCTGGGCCTCCCAGGTCCCTCTGACCCCAGGGCCACGTCTAAGCACTGAGCTACACAGCGCATCCTTCTCCTTTCCCGAGCGGAGAAGAAGGCTGCCTGCTTCCCGCCTCACACCCTGCAGGGCTCGTTCCCTCTCAACGGGAGGCAGGCCTCCAGCTTCCCTCTTCCTTTCTCGTGCTCTCCTATCTCTTCTTTTCCCAACTTCTCCCAACTAGGGGAATAACCCTCTAGGTACCAGGGAGGAGAGTTTTTAGATACACAAATATACGTTCAATAACAGCATCAGATAACCCCCCTCCAGCAGTCAGAAAGGCCACTATGGGAAGTGTCCCCAAGTATTGCAGGGGACAGATCCCTGCATCCTGGGACAAGCATGTCCAGTGTGGACCCAGTTTCACAGCCTGTTAGCGTGCCAATAAAACCTGGTCCAAGACAGCATACGAGGCAGGAGGAGAAGAATGCAGTGAAGACCAAGAGAGTACACACCCATCTGTGTGTGCATGGGTGTCTCACAGGAAGAGGACGATAGGCTCAGCATTCTGAGGAAGGCGCCACCATAGCCTCCGCCCTGCGTGTCTCCTGAGTGGCGCAGCGTGCGGCTGTTCCACCGCACAGAAGCCACGTGACTGAGGCGTGTTTGTGCTGCTTTCAGGCCCCGTGATGATCTGGGGCTTAGCTTTCAGCACAACAGGCTGGAGACTGCACGTTTCTACATGTTGTGGGGGTAGGTTCCAAAACTATAAGGAAATAGAAGGCAATCTTGTGAGACTGACAGTACATCTCCCCCGGCTCAGAGAAACGGCAGGCCATGCGCAGCACACGGGGTTGAGGACCTGCGTTTGGGGCGCACCAGCCGGAGCAGCGTCAGTGAACCAGGCTGCCTGCAGCACAGGAAATGCTCACACGCCTCTCCTCCTGCATCTGGCAGGAAGGGCTCCCCTTACGGAACTCAACAGGCGGCACTTTTAATGCTGCCAACTTTCACTGAGCGGGGCGTCTAGAAATGCAAAAGCAGCGGGGAGGGAACATGACACACGGGGATGGTGAGCTGGTGGCCACAGGGGGAGAAGTGTAGGTGGAGGGAGGCTGCAGAGGGGGGAAGCTGGAGGCCTTCAGACACTAGACGCTCCCCAACCTTACAGAATAACAGGCAGGACAGGCTTGGCCGTTTGGAATCGGGTACTGGTCTAGAACGAGGGACTTTTCCCCATTAAGTTACTGTAAACTTAAGCCTCACGCATGACATAGCCATATGTTGTGGTTGCAAGGATTCCTTATGAGTCAGCGTTAGAAAGCTGCCTCTACAAAACATGGGGTGAGCTGAACTCGTTTACAAACCTGTTTCCAAGCTGAGCTGTCTGATTTTAGTTTCCAGGGAACGGAAATTGAATCTGCTAATTGGGTTTACCTGGCCTCCCACTCTGGCAGCCTGCACACACCACGTTGTTGTAGTTACGGAACTTTCATACGTACTTTTATTTTTTGGTGAGGAAGATTGGCCCTGAGCTAACATCTGTGCCAATCTTCCCCTATTTTGTATGTAGGATGCCTTCACGTCATGGCTTGATGAGCAGCGTGTACGTCCTCGCTCAGGATCTGAACTGGCAAACCCTGGTTCCCTGAAGCAGAGTGCAAACTTAACCTTTACTCCACAGGGCCAGCGCATCATACATACTTTTTGCTGCTGGTGGTAACAATGTAACAAAGTTTTTGTATTTGTCCTACTGCCAAATTCTCCAGAGCAGTATTTTTCTAATTTTTAAGGCTGTGGAACCCTTCACGTTTCTGAATCCTAAAGATCTTTTGAAAAAAATGAAATCACTGCTTCTAAGGAAAAATCCTAATTTGAAAGTGTTACTTAGGTATTTTCTGGATATCTCTAAGGGAAATTTTCTTTTTTTTTTTTTTGTGGAATTTTTGATGACTATACAAAACACATTTTCCAAGAAATACATTTTTCTTCGTCTCATCACCAAAAAGGAAATTATGCATAGAAGTGATGTTTCTGGCCGCATCTGGCTGAGCCAGGCTGCTCTGCTGGGCTCAGAGCAGAGACCACCACCAGCAACACTGTTCTGGCCAGGCATTACCCCCTGAGAAAGGGCCCCTGGAGAAAAGCAACAGTCAACAACTCTGGTCAAGGTCACCAAAGCAACACATGTAGGAAACTCTTGATACAGCAAATGCTGTTCAAATAGTAGAACCTTTTGTAACAAAAATGTTCTGGCCTTACCCTTCTTGCCAGTGCCTTTTTGCTGAAGCTTAAAGCTAACTGTCTGTGAAAATGGGGCTGCTACTCTAAGGGGCTGCTTCTCCTGCCCTCAGCAGGTGAACTTGACTTCACGCCTTTGGGAGGGGCATGTTTTGAAGAAGGTCATTAATAGCTCCGGATATTTGGTGGAGAATTCACCTCTCATATTTACAGAGGGACTTGTATTTACACAGTATTTTTATATGCATTATTTTATTTAATTCCAAAGGAAAAGTACTGAGAGTTTGACCCTCATTTCTGTTTAAGAAATAGATCTAGGGAGGCTGTTATGTACCTTATGGTTATAGGGAGTTATTAAAAGAGGAGGTTTTGGACTTTCCGATGTTCACGTTCCAGTACAGGGATCTTCTGACCTTCTCACTCTCTTATTTGTCAGAACAAATCGTGTTTTGACAACAGTATTCAAAGGTCAAATACAGAGAGTGTTAGTATCTATGTTTCTCAAAAACGTTTTTTTTTGCATAGCGCAGTATGGTATGCCAGTGTCAATTATATATTTCAGCTAAAAACACTACATGGTGGTTTGATCAAACGTAAATTCTGAAACAGGCTTGGATTTTTTCCAAGACGTGTTAAGAGCTGGTCTGTATGAGCTGCCAGGCTATGAGAACTCTGGGAGGCCTGCTGTGAGAACAAATCGTAATTTCTAAAGATCTGAAGAGGCACACCTGGAGCATAATGGAGGCTGGTTGCAGGAGAGCTGCTGATTGCAAGGAGGACTATGCAGGTTCAACCCTGCCAAGGGGGAGAGAAGTGGTGTGGCCACAAATGGCTATTTCTCTGATCCCTCTGCCAGGGAGAACACCAACAGCAACCTTTCAGTTACAAATCGGTTCTACCAGAGAGGCAAGATTAGAGAGTTACAAAGAAGGCCATTTATTTGTGATCCCATTGAAACTGCCACAGGGCCTTTGCACTAGCCATTCTTTGCCTGGAACACGCCATTAGCAGCTTTATGCTTGCTCCCTCACTTCATTCAGGCCTCGGCTCAAGAGGCCTGAGAAACCTTCTCTAATAAACTATTTAAAACACTCCAAAATAATCTCTATCACATTCCAGCCCTACTGTTCTCTGTCGCTTCCGCAGTATTATCACCACCTGGAATTATGTGGTGTGTTTGCTTGTTTACTGTCTGGTTTCCCCAATAGAATGTCAGCCACATGCAGCAGATTGGCTCCCTATTTCTTCAGTTGCCCCGCAGTGCCTGGTGCATGGAAGGTGCTGAATAAACATGTTAGATGAATGAATGATTGCACGATGAATGATCAAAGCTGGGGCCACACCTGTGACCCCTTGACTTCAAGGAAAGGTGAAGGCTAACTTAGAAAAGTTTTGTTCTATTGACGCACAGGGCTAACCAGCGTCAACCAAGCCCTTATAATTTACAGTGATCGTCTGTCTCCCCCGCTGCGTCATCACAACTGGAGAGTGGGCTCCTGCGAGTCTGGCTCCCCACCACATGCCTGGTGCCTCACACTATGCAAGAAGGAAAGCATCACGTTAATTTCTTGGATTTGGTTACAGTAGGAAAGGTGAGCAGGGGTCCAGCAGGTAAGGAAAAGGAAGAAGACGGTTCCAAGCAGAGGGCAGAGCATGACGAAAGTCTCCGTCCTTGATGCGAGGAGCAGACAGCAGAAGGCAAGTGTGCTGGCCGGAGAGGGGAGGCGGGTGGGGCCCCATGTGTGGCTGGAGGAGTGGGCGGGGCCGGCCATGCTGGACTTGGCAGTTTGTAGGCTTGGCAGGGCAAGTTAAAAAGGTTTATCTTTAATCCACGAGCAACGGGAAGCTTTTCGCCTTTGTGTCCGTGTTAGAGTGACATGATCCTATTTGCCACCCCGCAGATGTCTGGCGGCAGCGGGTGTAAGGAGACCACTGGGAGGCGGCCTTGACGCAGCCTAGAGAGATGGGAGGTGGGCCCGGGGTCTCTAGAACGCAAGTTCCACGAAGGTAGAGATGGCTCCTGTTCCCTTCACTGCTGAGTTCCTAGCACCCGGAACAATGCCTGGCACCTCTTACACACTCAACAAACGTTGGTTTAATGAATGAATAACATAGTGGCTAGAAATGGAGGAAATGGGCTCCTGTAAGAAACTGTTAGGGGTTAAAAGCAACAGGAAATGGGGAAGGACTGGCTACCGAGTAGGAGAGAGAAATGTCAGGCCAACTCCGAGGGTTCTGGTTTGTGTTGCTATTTGGACGGAGGAGTATTGCTATTTCCTGTGACAGGAAGCAGCAGAAGAATCTATATTCTGTGTGTTTCTGGTCCTCTTTTTGTAAACTGAGAGTCCGAACTTCCTCCTCTCTGCTTCCCTCGGGAGGCCCCCTCAAGGCCGGCTTCTGGCATCCTCTGTGCTGGTGTAGAGCTGAGGAGAGGGGTCTGGAGGCAAGGACAGAAATTCTCGGATCACTGAAGTCTGGTCAGGGGTTTGAAGACGGCTATATTCTCATCGTTTCAAACATACGTGAGATCAGGGGAATGGCGAGGAATATTGTGGGACAGGATAAGTCTGAGGGATAAATGGTCACTCTCAACATGGGCCAAGTAGCCTTAACAGCAGGAGGCTTATTATTAGGAACTTAAACGCTCTGCCCTGCCCCGCCTCCAAATCTTATTCCAGGGCTACGAGTAAAGACAAGTTTTGGGGATAAATGACCTTGGTCAGCTATTTTCTTTTTGGATTTAAGGAACTATTTTTTGAGTGATATTGCGTGGGAAAAGTATCTTCTCGATACAGGTTTCCTGTGAATGATATTGTTCACATCTTTTCTGCCACTTGTGTCAGGGATATCCCAATTTTGTAAAATGAGTATATAAACAAGTTACATTGTACATATCAACATATATGAATTAAAAGATGGTTAAGAGTGCATGTGTGAGTATATGTATGAGTACACACTCACGTCAAAATGGCTATAATTTCCTGGTGAGAGGGATTACGGCTGATTTTAACTTTCATCTTATTCTTTTCAGCATTTTCTAATTTTTCCATAATGGACTTTTATAAAGATAAAAAAATGCATGTTACTAAAAGGAGGTTTATAATATCAAATCTAGATTATAACGTGAGGTGATGTTTAGAAAGCACGTATCTATTTATGAGTATTTTAGGAAATGTGAGATTACTCCTACACTGACTCTGAGCATTTGATTGACGGGTGTACAAATCAGTGGATGACATATTCAGAAGACATAATAAATTAGTCTGATCAAAGAAACCCTCAGACTGGGGAGAAAACATGGCTTCATCCCACGGACCAGGCAGCCGACAGGCTGAGCCGTGAATGAAATCAGGTGGTTCCCTTCTTACCATTGTATGTGACAGAGGGACTTTGCCAGACAACTGGACTGTTAAAAACAGCCTGAAATCTTGGAAAAGAAGGGTGTCACTTCCTAGGAGCCAGGCCACTTGAAGACTGGAAAGGTTAAGCCTGGGCGAGAAAGGAAGATTGGAAGTATCTTTTCTCGTACAGTGTTTTTGCTTTCCCTGGTCTGCCCCCGTCCAGAAAAGGATGGTTATTACTGCACAACGGGATGGAGCACATGTTTTTAAAGGTCAGAACTGCCTACGCTTTTGGGGTTGATTCCGCGGTGACGGCGTCTCTAGTGCTGCTGGGAGGGGCCAGACACGGCCCTCCAGGCCACACCAGCCCGAGAAGGAGTTCCTGGGGTGGAGGAGAGCTGCTTTCCGGCCCTGGCCATCCGAGAGGGACTGACCTGGGCAGGTGACCGGCGTCACTTGCGTGCCCAGGGCAGTCAGTGGGGGTCAGCCTGAGGGGCAGCAGCATCCCGGGAGACTTGGCGGAAATACAGGGGCGTCGGTGTTGCTGGAGAACAAGAAATGGCGAGTTGGATTCGGAGATGGGAAGAGGACTGGGTCACGCAGGGGAGGGAAACGAATAATGACGACACTGCTCTTTAAGCAGTGCTCCTACATCCTGTGTCACACTGTTCTTTCGATGCCTGCCTGTTTTGAAGAGGTCAGTTAAGTATTCGGGCTTCTTTTAGTACAGACATGAAAACACAAATTTTGAGAAGTGTAGAATCAATTCCTTTCTCTCTAGGAGGCAACATACTGTCCTGAAGTCGAATGGCCTGGATTCGAATCTTGACGGTGGGCAAGTTACCATACCTCAGTTTCCTCAAAAGTAAAATGAAGAAATAACAGTAGCTCCCCGATGGAGCCGCAGTGCTGACTTGCGAGGTACCCTGTGTAGAACACTGAGCACGGTGCTCCGTCCCTGTGAACGGCCGCCTCTGTTTCGATTAGGACGCTAGGAGGCAGGCGCCCAGGGTGGACTCAAGGACCTCAGCCACACTGGGCGCAGCACTCGGCAGGCTGGGCAGGCCGCGTGCACGTGGGGCTGCACGGCCCCGGCCCCTCCTGCCTGGCTGGGAGGCGTCGTCATGAACCGGAATCAAGTGGAAAAGCGGGAGCTGCTGATGAGGTCACGTGGTTGCTAAACGGAGGCAGGTGTGTGCGCTCTGTTCACGGACCCGGAAAGGGACGGTATGGGATGCAGCCACGCGAAACACAGGTCACTTTGGTTTTGTTTTTGGGGAGGGGTAGGATAGGTTAGGTAGGAAAGAGGGAGGAAATACAGGAGTTTGGTGAATCAGTCAGTTGTTCACATTTAGCTATTTGCTTTGGAAGCATGATAAATTCTCCTACTTCAGGGCTGCTGAGAGGTCAAATTAAATGACAGATGGGGAAATGCTTTTTAAAAAGTTAACGGTACGTATACAAAAGGTATTTGTGTGATTTATTTCTATCATATAATTTGATTAGTTGTATCTTATAATTTGATCTGGCACAGATTAGGTTATAAATTTACCTAAGAGGCCTAACAAGCAGGAAATGGAAAAGTCACCGGTTAGGAAAACAGACGAGAATCCCGTACCATCTCTGTGAAGCGGTCGGCGCAGGCCATTCGAACCCGTTCTGGCGTTGCTGGGCTCCGCACCGTGAAGTCCTCGGCGATGTCTCTTTCTCTGCGTGCTGTGGCCACAGCATCAGCGATGGCGAAGAACACAGATGACCCCAGAAACATCCCAGACTCACCCAGGCCCTGCAAGAAAGTACATTTATTTCAGAAGCTTCTACACTAGACTACAAGCCACTAGAGGTCAGGAGCCAGGTCTTGTTCACCATTGTATCCCCAACTCCTAGCACAGAGTCTTGCACACAATAATGCTCAATAAATGTTTGTTGACTGACTTACTGACTGAATGAAATTGGAGCACTTTTAAAAATCCCAGTCTCACCAGAACTTCCCAGGTCTTTAGTCTTGTGTGCGTTAAATCTTTGTTCTATAGGAAAGTGATATATGTGTGTGTGTGGTGAGGAGAGGATACCCTGTTTAGAAAAGCTCTTCAGTGGATTGAACTGGCCAACTTGACGAGCAGAGGGAAAGATGCCTCGTCATGACGGTAGGTCAGGGAGGCAGGGGACACGAGAAGAAAGAGGAGAGACTTTGGCACCAGGTGATGGGTTGCAAGCCCGTCATCTGCAAGGAATCGCCAGGTGAGACAAATGGGTGATGCAGCAGATGAAGGACAATAAGGAACAGTGGGGATTATGGTGAAGTAGAGATACCCCCATGTCCTATCTAAAGGGGCAGCTGTTCTTCGGTTCTAGCTACTTGTTGCCTGCCAGGAATACAGCCCAAAATACCAGATCATCCAAATTTTCAAGAGAATTTAGATATTCTTATTTTAATGTAAAATTTCCTGACTTTTAAAAACACGGTGTAGGCCACAGAAAATACATCTGCAGGCTACGTTTGGCTACTGGCTATATTTGGCCCAATGTGCAACCCCTGAGCTAAAGAGCCACGTCAGAATCCTGGCCCTTCCTCTCCGTTTCTCTGGGTGAGATGGTCTCTCCGAGCCCCTGTCCTTTGTCAGTGAAATTCAGGCAATGACAGCTCCCTGACAGGGTGCTGTGAAGTTCAGGAAGCGTGAAAGGACCCAGCACAGCACCTGGTCCCTGGCAGGTCCCTGTTACTATCACGCAGCACACTCCACTGGGCGCCTGCACACCTAGGATTTCCCTGAGGGTCTGCCTGTGAGCAGCTGGTCACAAGGACTCAGGGTGCTGCCGGCCCCGTTACACTTGGGGGGCCTGAAAGCTGCCCTCTGCGCTTCCTTTTGCCTTTTCCTCTTTAAGTAGCTTCCGGCCCTGGGAGAATCCAAAGGTGTTGCTGACCCATGCCCGCCCCCACCCCCCCGGCCCCCATCACCGTGCGCCCAGAGGAGGTTCCTGAGCTGAAAGTGGGATCCAGTTTAGAAATGATAAAACTCTGGCAGATATATGAGGACTCATTTTTTAAATATCAATTTGCCACCCCTAGTAAGAAGTCTCCCAAAAGATTTTAAAGGAAATGTTAACGATACATCTCAGACCTAACGGACACTTCTGCTGTGAGGGTGGTTTTCACGTGGCCCGAGTCCGGCACTGCAGACCAAGGCTGACCTTTAACCTGCAAGGCCACTACTTCAGCAATTACTGGCGGTTGGCGTCTCTGCCTCCTGACACCATCGACATGTTGGGCCACATAATTCTTCCTCGTGGGGCTGTCTTGTGCATTGGAGGCTGCTTAGCAGCGTCCCTGGCCTCTGCCCATAGTAATAACATCTCCCCCCAATTGTGACAACCAGATACGTCTCCGGATGTTGCCATATGTCCCCTGGGGGGCAAAACTGCTGCCCCCTCCAGTTGAGAACCACTGCTCTAGGTCGATTTCTGGGTGTGGCTGAGGACCCTGAGCCCCTAGGAGGTGAGATTTGCCTAAGAGGACAGGGAGTTGGTGGCCTAGGGCAGGACCCCAGGTCGAGAGATGCCTCGGCCCAGAACCCTTCCCACGCTGCCGCTGTTTCTTAGATTTCAGTGGCATCACGGCTTCAACTCCATTTAATAGTCTATTCTGGGGGCTGGCCCTGGGGCCGAGGGGTTAAGTTCACGTACTCCGCTTCAGTGGCCCCGGGTTTCGCTGGTTCAGGTCCTGGGCGCAGACACGGCACCGCTCATCAGGCCATGCTGAGGTGGCGTCCCACATGCCACAACCAGAAGGACCCACAACTAAAATATACAACTATGTACTGGGGGGATTTGCAGAGAAGAAGAAGAAGAAAAAAAAAGAAAATTGGAAGATTGGCAACAGATGTTAGCTCAGGAGCCAATCTTTAAAAAAAAGTTTAGTCTTAAGGTTCTTAAGTGAAAATGTTATTCTACCAAATCAAAGCTTTTTCCTGAATTTTAGAGTTTTCAGTGAAAGAGGATATTAATAAATAGAATTCTTGGCCCAGGATTACCACTGGGCAGATCACTGATCTTCTCAGAACCTCTCTCTTCTCCAGGTGACTCGTCTCCAGATTCTAAGCGTTTCTAGTGATTTGGGCCTCATGACGGCAGACATCTATTTTCTCCTTCGTTCTCTGCTTTTGTTTCCCAGGCTGCCTCATCCGTCACGTCGCCCAGGGGTAGGTTTGGGGCTTACCTTGGATGAATAGATGGTTAGTGGGGTTTGCGATGACGGCAACAAGGACACATTGAACTCCTCTGGGACGTCAGTGATGGTGGGAATTTTGTAATCGTCTGGGCCTCGGGAATACAAGACTCCTTCTGGGGAATATTTCAGCTCCTCGGTGGTATAAAGGCCCATTCCCTGGGTAAATGAGCCTTCAATCTGAAGGGGGAAAATGTCAAGCTGTGACGTTGTACACGTTTTAGAGGCCTTTACCTCGCCCGCAGTGACTTTCAAGAAGTGGCCTTCATCTGAGTGGGCCGGCACCTACCTGCCCAATATCAATGGCTGGATTTAGGCTGCAGCATGCATCCATGACGATGTCTGTTCTGATTTTCTGCCAAAATTAAAATTATCTCAATATAAAAATTTGAATAAAAAACATTATTTTAAGGTTTATTCAAATGATCTCTAGTTCTTGCAGAACTTCTGCTGGCTAATTAACACTGAACTGAACCTCATCAACATTAGACGTGCTAAGACACCTGTGAAGCTCTTTAAATGTAGTGCCAGGACTGTCGATGACCCCAGGAGATCTTTGCATTCATGGTCTTGACTCCTTTTAAGTGACTCCGAAGTCCACGGCATGTTGGTGTTTGAGTGTCACTCAGTAAAGAATTGAGCAGGTTGTTCATCTGACTCTCAGCTGGATTTGTCGCTCTACCGTAGCCCAGGAGCTCACGGAGGCTCACGAGGATTTGATGGAGACGGTCTCACTCAGCATCACGTCTCACTGAGGAAATCAGGCAGCCATCGCGGCTCGCGTGAATCTGGGGACTTGCAAGATCTTGGATTGTATCAAGGGCAGACGCTGAGACCACCTTTGACTTTGCTAATCTGCTTCCTTCCCTGAGAATCATCACACTGATCTGGCCCTCCTGTTTCAGCGCTGGGCATGTGCACGCAGGTTGTCAAGGAGCCACAGAAAGCCCTAAGTGCCTGTGGTCTATCTCAGGAATGTCTCTGAGCTTTCCTGCTGCCCCCACGGCCAGTGTTCGTTCTGACAACATCATCATTCCCTGCTTAGGCTCCATCCCTGGGTTCCTGCTTTCTCTCTAGCCCTTTGCACGGGGAGTTGTCTTTTGACTCAAAGGCTGGCCTCTCAGGCAACCTCCTCTGGGCACTGGCACCAGCCGGCATCCATTCTCAACCTGGGCGGGGCAGGAGACGGGACACACCTCAGAGTGGGCCTTCAATTTCCTGGAAACCCGGGATGTTTTGCATGACGGGGGTTGGACAACGGGAGGAGACGGCCGGGCACTAACTGAACCGTTAGATGTTTCAGCTCAGTGATCACAAACTGCCAGCAAGAAGGCCTGCCGTTTAGAGTCTCTGATTTCTCTTTAGTTAAAAGTTTTGCCTCTTTAAGGAATAAACTATTTCAAGAGACCAAAGTGACACTGAAAGGACTGAACATTAACCTGTAATGAGGGAGGCACAGGGAAGACCACATTGTAACGTCTCTGGCAACACAAATTCTGGAAAATCCCCAAGAGGGTCGTTTCTTCAGGGATTTATCCTAAGGCCTCAGGTGGAATTGCCAGAAAAAATAAGTATGTCCCAAATACTGCATGAAGCATATTTGTACCAGAAAAAATTTGTTATTTATCTGAAATTCAAATTTAACTAGGAGTCGCGTGTTTTTATTTGCTAAATCTGACAATACGGCCTTTAGGATGGGGGATCAGAAAACTAGCTGATTTCTAAAAACAGCTTCCCCCCTATTGTGGGGCCTCGAAGGGGTTACAGGTGCCAAGACACTGACACCTGGGCTTTTCGGGGGGCCTGAGGCAGGCTGGTCACCTGCCACCATGTCTCCCTTGTTTGCCACAGTGTGCTGTGCAAGAATTACCATTATCTCTGTGTACCATGATGTGAAAAACATTCCAAAACAGTTTTAAGATAATCATATGATCCTAATTTCATGAGTTTACTTCTTCACAATGATCTAGATGAAAACGGAGACATGATATTTCTGTGTCCTAAGGATGAACTTGAGTGGAACTCGAGGGCAACCGCTGTCCAGTCAACCCTTCATTTACCGCAACTTTTATCTTAGTCACATAATATTTAAGCAGTGGACAAATTAACCAACAATGGGGCAGTGAAAGACATTTTGATAAAATTTACAAGTCAGTATTTGCAAAGTTCTTTCTATTTTACATGACTTGACTATTTCTATTTTGGGTTCAAGATGATGTTGGAGTAATTTGTGTGTTCAATTAGATGTGTCATCGGTCCATTCTACAAATTTCCTAACAATTCACCATACTTTGGATTATACTATATTCTACTTAAGGTTTCTGTAATCTCTCTGTTTCCAGACAGGACCTGGGGATATTCATGGGTTTATTCTTTATGGTGGAAATTGTTAACTTTTGGTTAAATGTGGCTCGCTGCCTCCAATGAGTGGTCTCTTGGACGCTCAATTAAATAGCAAACACAAGAATTATTTTCACACCTGGCCCCCCGTCCCTGACTCCCAGTCTGTTTTCTTAAGACCAGTAGTACCCCTGGGACAGCTGACTTTGGAGAAACATTATCACATTGCCATGTGCTTTCAACATGTTTACTCAAGACAATTTACTAAAGTACCTATTCCTTCAAATTAGATAACTTGACTTTCCTTTAGGAATAGAACCCTTTTATTGGGAAAACCTTTGGAAAGTGGTTTTGTTTTCTGAAATGTAATAAAAACAATGCATTTTAGGCTGTCACGAGCAATTCCTTCTTGACTACTTCTTTGTAAGTGGAAATTCAGGATAAAGCTGGATCTCTGGACGTTCTGTGGAATTGAAAGAATCTTTTCTTACTAGACAAGCGCTACATAATGAAGTTGGGCTACTAACATAGAATGCAAGTCTGTTGTTGATGCTTGAACTCGCCAAGAGGAAGTTAGATCCCACTCACCTTGTGAGCTCCCGTCAGGCAGTCCACTTCCACCTCAGAGCTGGCTGCTCCGTAGACGTAGTAGGGAAACGGGTCTCCCTCCCCCTTCTCCCAGTCCATGAAGGCCTCATAGCCCCTGGGGGCAGAAAGAAAGCCCTTTATGGGAGGGGCGTGCAAACAATGCTGCTTCTCTTCAAAAGTTACCAAAGGTTTATGACAGCATTTCATTTGCTGGATGTTCATTCCAACCGCCTTTTAAGCTCCTTTAAACGGTTGGCTGTATTCACAATCCAGCTATTACGGCAGCACTGTCATTTCCCTCCGTTTTAAAGAGGATGCTCTTTGTGCTGCAGTTACCGCGCGGAAAAGAGAGAAGCCAACGACTGTCTCGGTCCAGACCTCACAGGGTATCTGTATCTTGATGGTTCAGGGTTTGAGTGTTCGTTCTGTACGCTGAAAAGCTCAACTGATTTTTAGCAGGGCTCCCAGAGGGACCCCTAGATTACGCTAACCAAACTCACAGGGGACCGGTGGTCATTCACAGCTGGTAAAAAAGGGCCAGAAATTCAATGCGTTGACTTATAAGGGAAGACGGAGCCAGCTAGAGGGCTGATTTGCTCTTCTCCTGTGTAACTAAACTCAGGAATTTACGACTTACCATGTACGGGGCACTGGGCTGGGCCCTTACGTCCCTCTTTCTTCACGAGGATTTGCTTTACCCTTGTGTGTGTGTGTGCGCGCGCGTGTGCACATGTGTGTAGCTCGGCGGTTCGTTTCATTAAATTGTAAAACTAATGTCATACACTTCCTGAATTTGACAACCAGCGCTCCTCTCTGTGCCTCATTCAATTAATGAGCATTGACCGAGGGCCTCCCACCGATAGACCCTGCACAAATGAAGAGCGGTGACCACCATCCCGGCCATCTCCTCCTGCCCAGCAAGCAGCTTCAAAAGGGAGAGGTTTTACGGCAAAGGGAGGGAGGTTGGCAAAATGGAATTGCAAACTGTTTCTAATGGTATCTTTTTACTACTTACAATAAAGAATATTATTATTCCACAATAAAGAATAGTAAATAATGATTAGATATTGTAAGTCATGTTTTATAATTTTTTTTTACCCGATGGGGTATTTTTACTATTTAATATTTCTTTGGACGTAGCTCATAGAGCTATATGAAGTCATAGAATTTGGGGCCTGGAAGAGAACTCAGCGATCACATAATAATTACTTATTTACAAATGAGGGAACTGAGGCCTGGAGTAACTGGGTCACCTCGTGCTTTCTCAGCTAAGTTATGACATTATTGCAATTTTTACCTGAAGTATCCAGTGGCAGAAAGACTGATTCTTTGTTCAAAAGCAGCTTCTATCTGCAGAATGGGCATATTTAGTTAAAATAAAATAAATGTACCATCTGATAGGTGAAAATGAAAATATTTTATGTATCGAAGTTGACATCTGGGGACCGGGCCTGTGTCTGAGTGGTTAAAGTTCCACGCACTCCACTTTGGTGGCCCAGGATTGTGGGATTGGGTCCTGGGTGCAGACCTACTCCACTCATCAGCCATGCTATGGAGGCATCTCACATACAAAGTAGAGGAAGATTAGCACAGATGTTAGCTCAGAGCCAATCCTCCTCACCAAAAAAAAAGAGAGAGAGAGATCTGATCATTGTTGTTGGTGCTTTGTTACCAATAATAGAACTCATCATAATGTTTTTTCCTCAGCTAGTGCACTCTAACAGTTTCCTTCTGATTGAGCTCAGAAGTCTGAATTCAAGAAACAAAATACAATCCTGCTGCTCATCCATGATGTAGGGGCTTTGTTCACAAGGGATTTGGGGCTTCATTTCTACATGTTAGAACGCTAGTCAGCGCGTGTGTAAGTGTGAGAGAGTTGTTCTAATGAATAAGACACAGGATATCGTAAAGGTGGAGAGATGGGTCATGTCCCTTGAGACATCTTCAATAGCAGTCAGGCCTGTTTTAGTTTCCCCCTTCCTACTCAAGACATCACCATCTTTTTGTGGCCTAGGAAGGCTCGACTTTTCCCCTCCTTCCTTATTTAAGCGGGGCGGGTCAGGGTGTTCTTCATCACTTCCTTGCTCCCCTCAGTGACGGGTTCCCTGTGTGCCCTCTCCGTACACACCTGGTGGCCATCGTCCAGCAGCATCTCAACCTCTGGCGACCCCGCCCTTTGAAGGAAGTCTGCTCTTAGAACCGTCTACACAGTGGGCTGTGTGCGGCCATGGAGCTCTCAGCAGTGGTCTGGGTGGTTCTCTCATTTCTAGTAAGAATGGAGGGGAGCACTTACCCAGTCTTCCCAAGTACCTTCCGGATTTTTCTTAATGATGGGCTCAAGGCGTTTCAGCAGGATCTGACAAGCATTCTTGAAGGAGTGAAGAAGTGAACCCCATTAGAGTAGAGCCCGGTGGTTAGGATTTGTGTGGACGAATATTAACTGATAATCGGTTAGGTTAATGAATGCTTACAGAGTGCCTGAACCTGACACTCTGGGGACACAGAGACGATGACAACACAGCCCCTGACCCTGAGGAGAGCGTCAGTTACCGGAGGGTTTTCCTTCCTGGTTCACTTCCTGTGAAGAGGTAGGCTGGCCTGAATTTCTTCTCTCAGGTCCCCTTTCTAAGACTATTCATGCTCGTAATTGTTTTTTCTCTTTTTCTACATTTTTGACTTAAGCCTTCTTTTGTATTTCCCATAAATTAAAATAAATGGAACAAAACATCTTATTTTCATTCAAATTTGTGCTTTCCAATCTGCAACAATGACATGTCAGTATCCCTCCGGGTCTGAAACATTGTTCAGCTCTCTGTCCATCTTCCACCTGTTCATCCAGCTACCGTCCCACCACCGCAATGAAGGCCTTGGCTTTGGGTGTGAAGTGAGAAAATAATTAAATTTGTTTTTATAATAATCTAGATGTAGAAAGCTTCCGACACTCAAAACAGAAACCTAAAACTCAATATCCTAGAAGATGGATTGACACTTAGTTTGGGCCAACAACTCCCATACACACAGAGTTATTCCTATCTTGTGCTTGATTCCACCCCAAATGGGATCTCATGAAACTTGAGGTTCCCCACACATTTGTTCTGAGTGAAAGAGTGTCTGGTTTTTGAGCCCCTAGGAGGTGTCCCCACGAAGATAAGATGGATTGGAAAGTGGTTTCTCTTGGTAGCACAAATGCAGTGTCCTGGGAGTGAGGGACGGCGCCTCTCCACAGGGTCCCCAGGGAAAAGGAGGCAGTTTCTAACAGAAGCAGGACACAGAGATAGCACTTCAAAAGTACGTACAGTCAGATACTGAATTACAGAATATGAAGTCACGGTTCCATTCTGAAAAAGCCAAAATTTAGCAGGTGTTTTTTAAACATCAGTTAGAAAATAAGTACCAGGCGAGCGGCCGGGCCCCGCAGCTCTCCACCGACGCGGACGCTCTGACTGCGCTGGGCCGCCCACCTGCCGGCGGGAACTGTGTGTCCGGCGCTGCGTTGTTGGTGCCCACCCTTCTTCTTTCTGCGTCTCCCGGGGACAGAGACTGCCCTCTCCCCACACCCACCGTCCCGCCCTGCGTGGTGTCTGGGCGCAGCGCCTGCCCCCTCTCGACGTTTTCCCGGCCCGCCCTGAGCTGCACGTGCCCGACACGGTTCTGCGCGGGGAGCCGAGGGGCTGGCAGCAGCTGCGGGTCGGGCCTCCACGCTCCGTCCCTTCTCTGGCTCCCTGGAAAGATGGGGCTCAGGGCAGCCTTGAAAGCCACGCGCTGAGGAAGGAGGGATCACCACCGAGCTGGGTGCTCGAAGGACGAACCCGCCCTCTGACTGCTATGTGTGCGAGAAAAAGACTTGTGTTGTGTTGCAGCCACTATGTTCTGGGCCTGTTCGTCACCTTACTTTAGACCCTCTGACTGACACAGTCTCCCGACATTTTGGTGATCCCAAGCCTATGTTTAGTGACACAGATGACTTCTCTGAAGCCAAACACTTGTGCCTGTATCCAGCTAAGAAAACCAGAGATGTGGGAAAAGCAGCCAGGACAGACAGACAGGAGGAAGCACCTGCACAGCTCGGCCGTTGACGTCGGAGCCGATGGACGCCGCTGTCGCGATGGTGTTAGGCACCGTGGCTGTGCTTGTTTCACAGATGTGCATGTGAGACATGGGGACCTTCAACTCACGGCTGGCCACCTAGGAGAGCAACAAACGTTGTCAAGTCCAGTAAGGCCTTCTGTGAAGATTTGAGTCATTATTTTTCTTAATTAAAAGAATTACTGTTTTTATTATAGCCAAGATATCCTTTAAAGCCTAAAATAATGTATCTTCTAAAAACTAAAACCACTTTTTAGTAGGTGTTTTAAAGTGTTTTTTATGGTAACATTCCACAGCAATCCTTCCATTCAAATTTGGTGCATTTAGGATGCTAAGGGTTCCCTTTTCTCCAAGGTTTATATGTGTAAGGGAACAGGCCAAGCTGAGATTATTAGACTAATTCGGTGACAGTGCAGGAAGAGGGACAGAGAGTGAGAGAGAAATAGAGAGAGAGATAGAGATAGATTGATTGACTCAGTTTGGTCTTAAATCTGTCGGTTTCAGTACCAGAGGAATGTGGTTGGCCCCAAGGGCCTGTCGTCTCTCACGCCCTCATCCCCGCCTAAACTTTGGCTTCCTCCCCTGTTCTTCTGCTTGTTCCACTTGCTTATATTCCTCTACGATTTGCTGTTCACTTTTTTCTTTTCTGCTCTTTTCCTTCCAGTTTACCCAGCAGACACATGTGGAAATTAAGATATTTAATCAAGAAGAAATGAAAAATAAAAAAAGAGAGTTGGGGCCAGCCCGTTGCCAAGTGGTTAAGTTCGCACGCTCTGCTTTGGTGGCCCCTGGTTTCGCTGGTTCAGATCCTGGGTGGGGATGTGGCACCGCTCACAAGGCCATGTTGAGGTGGTGTCCTGCATGCCACAACTGGAGGGACCCACAACTAAAATGTGCAATTATGTACTGGGGGGACCGGGGGAGAGGAAACAGGAAAAAAAAAAAACCTATGTACTGGAGGGCTTTGGGGAAAAAGAAGAGAAAAAAAAAGAAAGAAGATTAGCAACACATGTTAGCTCAGGTGCCAATCTTTAAGAAAAAAAGAGGGAGGGAAAGAAGGAAAAGAAAACAGCATTATTTTGCTGCTGTTGTCTTTTAGTTTTTGCAAAAACACTTGCACCACGTCTGCGGGTGTGTACCTGTCCCCAACGCCAGTCTTCAGACTGATGCTGTTCAGTGATGACATTTCCCCAGAAAGATGCAAAAATGGAAGAAATAAGGACAATTTTATTGGTTCTTGATGATGAAAATCCAAAGGGAATTTAATGGTTCGCATCACTGGGAGGGACAGAGGGAGCTAGGGTCACATATGTCTTCATCTAGGGGCTTTATGCTCGCCCCAGGGGCCCCTCGCAGCCTCTCACACTTGCTTTTCTTTCTACGATGGCTGTGTTATTTCCAACAGCAGACAGGCTTCCTCCGTGGCACAGGAGAGCTGCCTCTGACAAGCCCTGGCCTATAGCAGAGCAGCTAAACCACCACAAGGAGACCATAGGTCCTGTCTCCTGGCATCCACACATCAGTCCCAGGAAAGGAGTCCGATTGGCCTTGCTTGGTCATGTGCCTCCTTTCTGGACCAATCCCTGTAGCCAGTGGGATTCAGGAGCCACGACTGGCCAGACCTGAGTCCTGTGCCTGTGTCTGTGGCAGGTGTTGGGGAAAGGATGGGAAGGGGGCTAAAAGGCGCCAGCATTGAGGAGTCCTTCAGAAAGTATGGAACATGGGAGATGCGGTCCAAAGGAGCTGAGGGGATAGTCAAAAGCTGCAGGTGTGCAAGATAACAAGCTAATAAATTCATTAGAGTGAAATTTATTCACTTTAAAGCATTATTCTTTTTCCTCCTGAAATATCTTCCTACTTTGTGCGTGTGTGTTAAAATAGCCTTTAAAAATTACAGGATGATAGCAGTTGATGAGACACTTGTCCTTACTTGTCAAACTAATACATTAGCAACTTGATATTGTCCAAAATGTAAAAATTATACATACTGGTCTCAGAATAGAAAAGCTGAGAAAGTTCTACAGCAGGTAAGGCTGCATGGCGCCGCCCCAGCGCTCCAGGGGTGCCTCACCGGTGTCTCCACAGCCACCGCCGTCCGGAAGCCCTGGCCTTGCCCCAGGAGGACCTGCACGTGTGGGGATTTCTCCACCTCAGCCTTCTATTGGAGATGCAAGAAGCTCTTGAAGTAAATAGTCCAGATCTTAGGGTTTGAATACAGGGAGTGTCACTTACCCCACAACAGTGCCATATGGCAGTCATGGCAACAGCGTATAGAGAGGTTAACGACAGTCTTATTTCTTACCTGTAGCATTTTGGTGTGAATGCCTTGGCCCAGTTCGTTGCCTCCATGTGTGACCAGTACGGACCCATCTGTGTAGATGTGAACCAGTGCGGCTGCCTAGTGAAACGAGCCAGAAGGCACAGCTCAGTGCAGGGGAAGAGCAACGTAAGGAAAGAGGCAGCGAAACACCCGTCTCACGGAGCGCGCGGGTCACGACTCAATGGAATCACAAAGGGAAGAAGGGTTCACGCCGGGCAAGGTGGGCAAAAACTCCCCATTGTCTGCAAGGGAAGCCCTGCTGCTCATTAGGACACGAGGCCTTTGGGGTTTTTCCATTTCCATCCCTGTCTCTTCCCACCCGCTCCTCGGTCTCCTGTGCCGTTGCTCCTTCCTGACCCGCCTCTTGCTGATGCTGCTCCCTCTTCCTGGCCTGAACCCTGGGCCTCTATTCTGTTAAAACTTCCACAATGCTTCTCATTCCCCCCCGGGAGGATTAGAGGATTAATTAATTACTCTCCTCTCTGCACTTCCTCTTACGGGGTGCAGTGGGCTGAATAATGTCCCACCTAACCCCAAATTCATGTCCACCTGGCACCTCAAAATGTAACCTTATCTGGAAATAGTCTCTGCAGATGTGATTAGTTAGCGTGAGGTCATACTGGATTAGGGCGGGCCCCACATCCGGTGAGCAGTGTCCTTCTGAGAAGGCCACGTGAAGACGGAGGCAGAGACTGGGGGTCTGCAGCCACAAGTCAAGGAACACCAGGAGCCACCAGAAGCTGGAAGGGACGAGGAAGGATTCTTTCCTGGACCCTTCAGAAGGAGCACAGCCCTGCTGACACCTCGATTTTAAATCTCTAGGCTGCAGAACTGTGAGAGAATAAATGTGTTGCTTTAAGCTGCCCCGTTTGTGGTCCTTTGTTCCGGCAGCCCCAGGAAATGAACACAGGCTTTTCTGCGGGAGTCTCGTGGAGGAAGGGCACCTGGTCCTGTTCAGCTTTGTGTCCTGTAGAGAATTGGGGGCAAGTCTGAATCACAGAGACACTAAAGAAATGCTTGTTAAATCGGATGAATGGAAATGTGGTATTTTTCCTTCCGGGAGGAGGAGCAGGAGGAGGAGGAGAAATGAGGACTCCAGTCTATTCCCGTCTGAGGCTTGGAGGAGCTCTGGGGCACCCCGCTTGTAGGCGCTAATAATAGTAGTCATCCACCGTGGGCCTTTCGACTCCCTCTGAGAACAGCGCTCCCCATGCCTGGTTTAAAGGGGAGGCGTTCCAGTTCTGTGAGTCATCAGCTGACCCGGGATAACACGCTTCACTCAGCTCCCAGCTGGTGATTCTCGGGTGCGTCAATTTAGAGCTCTGTGCGGAAGCTGGAGGCCTTTCAAATGGAGGCTTAAATCTTTGATTCAAAGATGTTTGTGTGGCAAGATGAGAAGTTGGCTCCGTGGGAGAGGGCAGGGAGCAGGCTGTGGTTTGGGTGAGAAGCAGCTGTGCAGTGAGGGGAGGTGCGATGGGATGAAAACTACATAGGTGGCCTTTGTCCCTGGTTCTTGGCACAGAGCTCCTAGAACCCCTGGAATTTACTGTCTTTTGTTTGGTAATAAGATGACTCTTGGGGAGCCTAGATAGTTTCAGGACGGGGGAATGTTTGCCAGGAACACCAACCATGTGGCTAGAGAGTTCCATCTCTCAGCGCCCCCCAGGGGAGTAGAGACGGACTGGAGATTGAGGTCAGTCACCAACAGCCAAAGATTTAATCAGTTGTGCCTAAGTAGTGGCACCTCCATAAACCCCCAAACGATGGGGGGTTCGAGGAGCTTCCGGGCTGAGGAACATCCACTAGGGGGAGGGTCGCCCGCTGGAGGGAGAGGGCACGAGCCTGTGTGCTCCCTGCCCCCTCGCCCTGTGCGTCTCTCCCATTTGGCTGCTCTTGGGTCGCATCCTCTATGACGAAGTGGCAACGACCGTGAGTAAAGTGCTTGCTTGAGTTCTGTAGCTCTGCAAATTATCAGACCTGAGGGGTGGGCAGGGGAAGGCCCAGAATTTGCAGTCGGCGGGGCAGAAGGGTGGGTGGCGTGGGCACTCCATTTGGGCTGGCGTCTGATGGGACTCAGCCTTTGACTGGGGTTCTGCGGTAACTCTGGGTAGCTAGTGTCAGAATCGAATTGCTAGACGCCCAGTTGGCGTTGGAGAATGGAGAACTGGTAGAGAAGACACAACGTTTCATGTCAGAGAAAAAACCACATGGGTGACCATCCAGGATCTCTTATGCTGTTGATTCAGTCCAGGCCTGTAGACGTGACCGTTAACCTTCCCGTGTCTCTTTATAGAACGAGCACGCTGGACCTAACAGGAGTGTGAGGCAGGAGTCCAGGGGTCCCACTGCCAGAGGAGCCCCAGCTCTGAGAGGTGAGTCTGAGCGCTCTGGCGGGGGGGGGGGGGGGGCGTGTGGGCTGCCCTGGAAAACTACCCAGTGCTCAGGCACCCCGCCAGGTGCTTTACTGTGACCGTCTCATCAAATCCTCATCAATCCTGAAACAGGATGATTATTCTCATTTTATAATTGGAGAAGCTGAGGCTCAGAGAGGTTAAATAACTTGCTAATGTCACACAGCTAGTAAGCGGCAGGGCCAAGGATTTCTCCAGTCTTCCTGACTCCCAGTCCTGATTAGGGGTTTGGGGCAAGTGCTTTATTCCCTAAGAAGGATTTCCTCTGGCAGAGCAGCTTGTGGGGTGGGTGTGTGTGTGTCTCTTGGCTGCCAGCAGTTGGACATCAGTGGAAGAATGCTTTCAGTGGTATACACGTAAGGGAGATCTAATGCATTTTCAGATTTAGAGTTTAGGTTTAGATTTAGATCTAATGCATTTAAGACTTTTCCAGTTGCTGAGTTTTCTGCTTTTGGTGGACAATAACGGGGAGGCAACAAGCTCTCCCAGTTTCCTAAACAGCTTTCCTGTGTACGACCTGTTGGGATTTCTGGGAAGGCTCGTCCGCACCAGTCCTTGCGCTATCGGGTGGACTCATCCATGTGCTGCCCTTCTGCCTCCCTTCTGGAAGGGCCTCTGGATGGCTTGTTTCTTCCTTTCACACGTTTACTTGGGAGGATTTCTGGAGCCCACTCTCACTTCCCCCCGAGACTTGACACAGGTTCCTGAGGGTGTGCCTCGAAACAGCCAGCTGCTCAGAGCAAAACGGAAGATGTAGCACGTGCACCAGGTGTGCTGCGGTGTTTGGGACACGGACCAGCAGACGTGCCATTCCCACCCACGCCAGGAGACCCCCAGCTCCAAAAGCACAGTACCACGCCTGCGTGGTCGCCTATTCCCTTAGTGAAGAGTGGGGGTTCCTGGGGGGGGGGTCAATGCTCCATCTTGGCAGTTATGCACCACAGGCCTCCTGCTCGCTCATGCTGTTTTCTGCCATTGAGGCTTTTCTACTGCACTGTGTTAAAAGTGCTTGCAGTTGCGGGCTGCTCAGGAGAGTTTCGTACATTTCTCCCAGGTTCCAGGGTCGGGGGCTCGGTGCCCTGGGGCATGTGACACTCTCCCAAAGTCAGCACTAGCTGACTGGGCCAGGAGGGTGTCTGACATGAGGGTTCCACCCCACATAGATGAGTCTTACCTGATGAAAGCTTGTGGCAGCAAAGCCAACGGAAAACTTCATGGGGACCACAGCCAGGCCTCTCTTCCTCCAGTAATTCTTCTTGTTGAACTCTGCCACTTGCATCCTTCGGCTGTGAAAGGAAGACTTGTCCAGACATTCGTTCCAGCATCTTATCAGGGGCTCAGGGTTGAACGCTTGTTTGTAGATGGTTTTATCAACTGTTTTGTACATGTTTTTCTCCCTCACCTGAAACGGGTGGGAAATGGAGGCGACAGTTATGGTAAGACAGGAACGGGCTGCAGAACAGAGACTCGAAAAGCCCCCTGGTAGAGCACAGACTTTGATGGGGGAGACAGGCTCTTTCTCCTTTTTCTTGCAAGCATATGCCTTTGCAAAAGCAATAGAGGTGATTTCTCACCTCTTCTTCCATGCACGGCCGGGGTCTCTCCCTCCTGGAAGTGGAGGGTGGCGGTAGTGACTGCTTTGTGTAGGGCGGTGGGGTAAGGGGCCTAGGGAGGCCGATTTTTCTTCTTTCTCCTACAAGGTTCAGAGGATGGGGCAGAGTCGGTCGGTAGTACATAAAAGCAAGAGTCTGTTGTCATAACTGAAGACTCGTTCTGCTAGAGAGGAGGAGTGTTGAGCCAATGACGGAGAGCAGAGCCTCTCTAAGGCTTCCAGCTGCCTTGGGAACGTGTTGTAGGCAAATCTTTTTCAAAGTGTCTCTGAATATGGGTGTCTTAGTCCCGGAAGCTTGCAGCCTTGACAAGGAAGGAGGGCCCACGGGGACATGCTCCGGAGTTTTTCATCATCCCCACCACACTCTAATAGCAATAGTAGAATTATGATTATCAGCAGCCACACCGGACTAATACTATCCAGTTTATGAAAACGAGTTTCAACAAATGCTAACTCACTTGAGTCTTGCGGAAACTCTGTGAGGTGTGTCACACCGCCCTCATTTTACAGATGAGGAAACTGAGTCACAAAGAGGTTGCCTCTCCTTGTTCAAGTTCTTCCACTGGCCTATCCTACCTTTCCATTATCTGTGCCTATCATTCTTCAAGGCCTATCTCAGTGCCATTGTCTCCAGAAAGTTCTTCCTACTCCCCGCCCCCCAAGCCAATGTGAAGTCTTCCTCCTCTGTACCCACAGAACACTCTGTGTGACTTCTCTTGGGGTAACTGCTGTCTTCTTTGTCCAATCTTTAGGTGTTCTCTCATGTGTAGGCAGTACCCTGACAATCACAAATCACAAACCTGGTGGTCCTCCCTGTTGAATTAGGGACAAAGGGGCTCAAAAGACAGTACATGGAAAGTCTTGTGGGAGCAGAGGGTCTACACTGGGGAAACAAGTGACAGAAGTGTGAACAGTAGGCTGGAGTTGGACTGGACGTGTGAGGAGTGGGAGAGTTATCAGCAGGTGTCTCGGTGGCCTGTGGCGGCCTCTCTCCCCTGGTCTAGCACACTGTGCATACTGTGCACCTTCTAGGACCTCACACCAAATTGCGTTTTTGGAGGGCATTCTTTTGACACTCTCTCTCAAAAGTTTTCAAGCGCACCAGCAGTTCCTCTTGTGTAAATTTATCCTAAAGATGTCGACAGTAGGGCAAAGATGCGCCCTTGGTACATCTGTACCAAGATGTTTATTGCGGCATCATTTTAATAGCCCCAAATGAGTAACAACCTGAATGTGTATCAATAAAGGAGTGGCTAGATAAGTTACACGCATCCATATTACATAGTGCCATTCAGTCATCAAAAAGAATGCAGCAGATCATTCTACTGACATGGGAAGACAGCATATTGTCAAGTAGAAAAAGCAAGGTGCAGAATACTATGTGTACTATGGTCCCGTTTCGGTAAATAACTACGTATGTGCACATCCACATTATAAGTCAATGTCTACCTGTGTGTGTGAATACAGATGGGTGGAGGAACACAGAGAAAGGGCCAGAACAATAAACACGGAACTGTTAACAGTGGTTACTCTCAACCAGCAGGGAGGGGGATGGGAAAGGGGCTGTTCACTTTCTACTTTAATTATTTCAGTGTGGTTTGAATGTTAAAAATAGTAATTATTTTGTATAGATTAAGAAAGAAAGAAAAAGAAATCAAAGATGCAAACATAAGGAGGGATGACGACACGGGGAGGTGAGTTGTTTAGGTAGCTCTGGATGCATCTTGAGTTCTGAGCCAGGGCTCACTCCTGCGGCTCTTCCAGGGTGATTCTGTGGGAGCTGTTCCCTGCCTTGTCTGATTCTTGAGCAGCTTTGGTTACGACCTTGATTACAGCCTTACCTTTTCTGGCAGAAGGCCACATTTGGCTGCCACGGCTGTGATGCAAGACTCTGTGACCAGGGTTCCTTGGGGGAAGCCGAACCCACGAAAGGCCGTGTTGGATGGTAAATTTGTCATGCACGCACGTCCCCGGAACCTGAGGTTGCGGATTTTATACGCATTTTCCATCTTTAGTATAAGAAATTCAGTTACCTAAAGTAAAAGGAGATATTCACATACATTGGACAACACTTTTTTTTCTCTAAAAGTCGAGTACAGGGGGCCGGCCTGGTGGCATCGTGGTTGAGTTCACGCGCTCCACTGCGCTGGCCTGGGGTTCACTGGTTTAGATCAAGCCGTGCTGTGGTGGCATCCCACATACAAAATAGAGGAAGACTGGCACAGATGTTAGCTCAGCAACAGTGTCCCTTGAGCAAAAAGAGGAGCATTGGCAACAGATATTAGCTCAGGGTTCCTTACCATAAAAAAAGTCAAGTACAGAGTCAAACTGCTTGTGAAACTTGGTAAGTACTGGAGGAAACATGCTCCATAAAGACTCATCTAGAAATGCTGCATTCTACTCACAATCAAGGACGCGGCTGGTTTCCGAGGCACATACCAGCTCTGAGTCATCCAGCGTGCAGCCTCCGTTAATGAAGCACTCGATGTCGAGAGCTCTGATGCGCCCGCTGTTCATGAATCCCACCTGTCACCAAATGATGGACAGTTGATGATATGTTTCAAATTTGCTTGCCAAGCTGGAGCCACAGCCCAGCTCCATGACTGGCAAGACTGAAGACAGACTCTTCTCCCGTGTGCTCTGGGGTATCCCACACCTGGCGATCCCCTTCTTTTTCAGTGCGTGGCCGACAAAGACCTCCTCTGACCTGAGTTTGGCTGAGCCCTTTTCTTCCCACGTGTAGTTTTCTGGCTTCACAGTCCGTATGGAACTGCTTTTCTCCTGGCATATAATTGCTACCCTCTTCTTCCTTATTCTTGGAAGAGTCTCCTTCACTTTTTACTGGTTTTCCTTCTAACTTAGTCTGTGGTTTTCCTCATTGTGGAAAAGTCTCTGGGATTCCAGAGCTCATTGGAATGAATCACAGTGCATCTTTTTTTTTTTTAAATCATTGCCGCTTTTAAAAATTAAATTAAGTTGATTGTTTTCATTTTATTGAGGTCACATTGACTTATGTAAATTTCAGGTGTACATCGTTATATTTCAGCTTCCGAATAGACTGCGTTGTGTTCACCACCAAAAGTCTAGTTTCCATCTGTCACCATCCATATGTGCCCCTCACCCGCTTCTGCTCTGGTAACCACTAATCTATTCCCCGTATCTACGTGTCTGTTTATCTTCCACATATGAGTGAAATCATGCTATTCTTGATGAAGCCTCGGAGGTTGGGATGCCTGAGGGAGCGTGACTGCTCTCATGTCACTGAGCTGGTGAAGCACTTCGTGATCGCTTAAGGACAGAGCAAACGTGAGCTGGCACTGCTCTTACCGCTGGGACTCCGGGAAGGCAGCTTGTGTTTTTCTGAAGTTGCCATCCCCTCCCACCCGCCTAGACCAGTCCGTCTGCACAGCCAGATTGAAAAGTAAGTTCCCCCTATCTATTGTAGTTCGACCAAAAAGGATTGGCCAGGTCCCTTTGCCTTTCTGAAAACAGGGAAAATCCATCTGAAGGAACTGTACAACTGTATGGTTATCACTGACTCCAAGGGAAATGCTGGAGGACGAACCAGAGCAGTGAAGAAATATAGGAAAAGCCAAGAATTCAGAATTTAAGTTAATTTTGACAAATGCTAGGCTGAAGTCTACTTTGACTTTTCATGAAGAAAGAATTGCTAAGCAGTCCCATAAATAAATTAGCAGAGATAATTCTTATAATATATGTTATATATATATAATATAAACTTTTCAAGAATTTTGGAAAAATGTATTCACACGTAAACATCTATTAGGCTAATTTACAAATAGTTCTGAATAACTAAGCAAAACTTTGTTAGCCAGGTCTGAATGAGGATATGTATACATACATACACACTCATACATTATTACATTCAATGTAAACTTATATTTCTTTAAAAAAATAAAATTTGGAGTTTTCAAAAAGTCTATTTCCTTCTTTTAATTATATTTTATATTCATTTATATTTTATATTGTATTTTATAATCACCAAAATATTTACAGTCTAGAACTTTCTTACTAAGTACTAGTACTAAAACAGTGCCCTGTGATGTAAATAAAGCCTGATTTATAATTTAGGCCAAAACCAAAGACCTCAACAACCACATAGCACCAACTGCCAGCCTCCCAGAGTGCACCTCCACATTGCTCTCCGTGCTAGCAGAAGATAACAGCCGTGAGTTTTAATTTCTGTGCAGTTGAAGGCAAATAAAAAGTTTAATGGCCAACTATGTTCCTTTCCTCTTTAATTATAAAAATTACCAGTGCCAATGGAAGAAATAAAACTGAGCTGTGGTGTGGAAAGCTGTGGCTTTAGTACCACAGGGAATATAACAGTTTAGTAATCTAGCAACAACAAAATCAGAAAATCTAGCTATGTATATGCTATAAGCAATTCCCAAATAAAGCATATTTGATATAGAAACATTGCATTAGAACTGTCTTAACAACTCAATCACAGATTTGAAAAGTAGCATTGTTGTCAGTATATTGCCAAGTATTTTTACCAGCGTTTATGCTGCAGTTGCATAAAAGTGCAATGAACGTGGTTTGGAAACAATTTTAAATTATTTCTCTAGTTAGTGGATTCTTTTCCCTATTTGCAAAGTGCTTTTGTATGACTTTCGTAGCCACTTGGTGGAAACATTCGTAAAAAATGATTTTGCGGTTAAAATGGTCAAGCTGTTTCCAAACATTTCCACTGCAAAATAGTATTTTTATAGTGCAGAAATTTTGGTACAACAATGTTTGTAGCTTCTTTCAGTTTTTTTTGTCTTTGAGGACCACTAATGTAAATTCTCATTCCTTCAATAGCATTTTTATCATTATTTGAAATAGTATTTTTATCATTCAGCTTCTTCAAAATTCTACACTAGATTTATTTAAAGTTCCTCATAAAATCTTATGAGTATTCAAAGACACAGCATCCTCATTTAATATTTTAGATTATTGTTTGTTTTCAGAATTAGCAAAATCAAAATAATAGAAAAAGATAAAACCATTAAAATAAAATGAGGTATTTTAATAATTTCATCTTTAATACTCACTTTATATTTTCCAAATAATGGGTGTCTTCCCCCAGTTATTAACATATCATCTTCACGATCAAGAACAAGACGAATGGGGTAACCAGTTCTAAAGAAGAGAAATCTTAGTCAGATTCTCCATCCATCCCACCCACCCATCTGCTGTCCACTCACCTATTTATCCATTCTCTCATTTAACTATCTTCTCACCCATCCATCTGTCCACCTTTCTACCAACCTAGTCACCATCCATTCTCCTCCTCATTTATTCAACCATTCATTTAAGCATCCATCCATCCCACATATATTTATTGAGTGCATATGGTGTGCTAGGCACTGATCTGAACTAGTGTATGACTAAGTTACTATTGTCCCTGTGGTCTATAACTTCATGGTTGGAGAACTAGTAAAGGGATTAATGTCATATGTCAGTTAACTTGTGTTCTTATGACCCTCATCCAGATTCAGCCACTTTGTGTATCCCTACCACTAGTTACAAGGAGGAAGGATGTGAACAGAAAAATGCAAACTTAACAGAACTGGAAAAGCAAGGCCAACCACTTGTCCTAGGATGTCTGGGTTAGTATCTTCGTTTTCACCCTCGAGTGCTACTCTGTTGGCCAAGTTGGGCCCTTGGGTAGCTAGGGTTTCACCCTTTCTTATCTTTAAGGCAGAGTTTCCCAAACTTTGGAGTACAGAAGAATCATCTGGAGTGCTGGTGAAAATGCAGATTCCTAGGCCTTAGTACTAGGATTCTGATTCCACAGGTTGGGGAGGGGCCCCAGAATCTGCATTTTTCTCAGTGATTCTGACACAGGTATCTCCAGGTACCTGTTGAAAACCATGATTCTAGGGCAGGGTTTCCTGGTCTTTAACAGTTAGGATCAACTGGAGCATCAGTTAAATGTAAGTTTCCGGGTCCATCCCCTGGTGATTCTGATTCAGTGAGTCCGGGATGCGGAGGCAGGAATGTCTATGAGCTCTTATTATCAGCAGTTTGGGAAGACTGCTCTGGGGACCACAATGCGTGGCAGGTGTGTGCTAAGGCAGCGTTGTCACTTAAGACGCTAGTTGGGACACTCAGCTGCATGGTGGAACCCCTGGGGAAGTTTTAAAATACACCGACAGCCGGGCCAGGACGAGGCAGCCTAGGTGATTGGATTTAAACGCTCCCCAGCTGATTCCAATGTACAGTCACGTTTGAGAAGTCTTAAAGGCACAAAGCCTGGTGGGAATACGATGAACTGATTATCTCTTGCTGGGTCCCCAGTGGGTACGAATAGAGAGGGCTCATTATGGAAAGAACTGGGGGTGGGATTCAGATCTTGCCTCTTCCCATCTCTCCTTGCAGGATGAGACATATATCTCAGTGCCTTGTGACCTAGTTCTGAACGACACAGAGATGGTCAAGGGAAGCAAGACCTTTGAACTGTGCAGGCTGAGTGGGGCTCTGACAAAGTAACAAAGAAACAGCCATAGGAAATGAACAAAGAACAGGAAAGCCAGCACCATGAACAGCACGAGCAGCAGGGAGCGAGCCTGCTGGTTGACGCTAGCCCGGAGCTCTCTTTGAGGATGTCATTGTCCACTGAGCACACACTGAAGAGTCAGCCCTTCCCAGGTGCAGAGAGGCGGAGGGTGGGAGCCTTCGTTCCTCACTCCTCTGTCTGCAGCTGCGAGCAGGAAGGAAGAGTGGGGGAGCAGCCTCCCCTTTGGCACTCCACGTGGGCAGGTGACTTGCCCTGAGCCTAAAAGGGTCATGTTGTCTCAGGGACAGGCAGCCTCAGGCCTGGAGGGGTTTGACTGATTGTACCACTTTTCCATTTACAGCACTTTAGCCTATTCTGAGTCCTATGTACATTTGACCTTCCAAGAACTCTAGGAGGGTGGGTATTATTATCTATAATCATAAAGAGAAAGAGACAGGAGACCGAGTTGCCCAAGGACGCTCAGGTGGTTATGACAGTAGCCCAGGTGACTCTCAGGCCTCTGATCTGCCCTCAGCTGTGTGCATTTTACACGCTCTTGCACCCCAAGTGCACTTACTTGTTTGCGCCCACAGCTGCAATAGCCCCGAGTACAGCTGGTCTTCCCACCTTCCCGCCAAAACCTCCACCCACTCGCTTTACATGACAGGTGATCCTGTTGATGGGGATGTTTAACGTAGAGGACACTGTTTTCTGTAAAAGTGAGATAATGGGAGAGTTTTACAAGAGTGAAATGGCAAAGACGCTCTTTGTTTCCTGAAGCAGCATCACAGGAAAATCACGGACATCTACTGTCTGCAAAAACCCCTGAGATGGTCTGCGTCTGTCTTGCGGTGCTCTTCTCAGTTCATAAGCATCATTAATCTTCACAGAACAGCCCTTCCAGCAGAAGAATGGCATCTTCCAGAAGGGAAACTGTCAGAGTCCCGGGTTTCTGTTGGAAGCTGTAATCCTAGTGAAAAGCCTAGACCTAACGTCACAGCCAAGTGAAAACCAGCAAGCTCCTGGCAGGCCACTAAAGAAGAGGATGTGTTCACAGCTGGGACCTAGAGCACTTTGTGACTGGGGAATGAAAATCTGCTACAAAGGGATGGGTTTTTACTCCATAGTTTATCCATAATGATGATGATTATTTTTTTTTGGTGAGGGAGATTGGCCCTGAGCTAACATCCACTGCCAGTCTCCCTCTTTTTGCTTGAGGAAGAGTGTCCCTGAGCTAACATCTGTATCAATCTTCTGTTTTGTATGTGGGACGCCACCACAGCATAGCTTGATGTCTGTGGGTCTGCACCCAGGATCTGAACTGGTGAACCTCAGGCCGCTGAAGCAGAGTGCAGGAACTTAACCACTACGCCACTGGGCCAGCCCCTATAATGATTAGTTTAGAGAAAAATCAAGTACAGATAGAATTTCGTGTTGTCATCCAATCACGGAGGTCATTTAAGTGCGTGCGGTGCAAATGAATGTCCTCTGTAAATCTAAAGCGACTGTGGCTGCTCTTTATTTGCTTGACAAGACCAGAGAAAATAAAAGGGGTCTCGGGTCTTAGCTGCTCCACTGATGTCCCATCCTTGGATTCTAAGTTTTGGAGGTAAACTGGCTGCCACCTGTGAGGCTGTGGGGACTGAAGGCCACGACGGAAGGAGCAGGTTGGGGAGGTGGGGGCGAGCTTGGACCTCACCTGCACGTGGGCTGGATCCTGTGTCGACACATAAATGTCCAGTTCTTTGTCCTCTGTCTTTGGAATAACGAGCACTCGCTGTGTTTCCATGTAAAAATGTTCCTGTCCTCCAACGTGGACCTCTCCTGGAAGAGCACAGGGGAATTCCTGAGGGCGTGTGCTGGTCGGAAATCCCGTGCTGGGGCATCAGAAGCAAGTGAGAGGAGGACGGGCCAGCCTGGCTTTGTCCTGACCAGGGAACCGTCCTGTGTCAGCCGAGGGCGATGTGTTTCGGAGACTACGGTTCTGGGTGAGAAGTTGACAGTGTCTGGTTCCGCTCCTCACTCTGCCCTTGGCTCGTCAAAATCTTAGGAGCGTTCCTTCTGTTCATTCTGCGGCTCCCTACCCTCCACCCCCGAGAGCAACACACACACACACACAATCTGAGAGGAAGAGATACGAGAGACTTGGCAGAGGGCCACGACTCTAGAGGCTGGTCTTTCTGGGATGAAACCACGTGCTCTCAGCGTCTGCTTCAGAACAAGACTCTCCCAAAGGTTCTATTACATATCCTGAGTCGCTTACCTTCCACAATTTGATCGACTTCTTCAAATGCCTTCTCGACGTTTCCTTGTTCAAGCTTTTTTTCAGGGCACAGGAACGAGCTGTGTTTTATGGCATCCTGAGTGACAGGGGAAAAAACCACAAAAACCAATTCTTTTCATATTTTTCTTCCACTGGCAGTTTTTTCTTTTTTTTTTTTAAGAGTTTTTTAAAAAAATTTTTTTCCTTTTTTCTCCCCAAAGCCCCCTGGTACATAGTTGTATATTCTTCATTGTGGGTCCTTCTAGTTGTGGCATGTGGGACACTGCCTCCGTGTGGTTTGATGAGCAGTGCTATGTCGCACCCAGGATTCGAACCAACAAAACAATGGGCCGCCTGCAGCGGAGCACGTGAACTTAACCACTCGGCCACGGGGCCAGCCGCCTGGCAGTTTTTTCTTAATCAAAGGCCAGGAAAATCCCCCAAATTGCCATCTACCAGGACACACGAAAGGAGTTGTGCTAGCCAGAGAGCACTAGAGTGATGGGCTCACCATGGAGACCAGACACCAGAGGGCATGTCTTCTAGAACGGAGCAAACCAACAAGAAGGACTGGAAAAACGTTAACAGTTGGATCTGGGGACGCTATAGTGGTGCAGGATGACAACTACTCATTTCTCATTTTCAGTGTGGACCTCCAGGGAACAGCTGATAGGTCCAAATGGGTGAGGCTCTGGGCCCTCCCTTTTGACCCTCTCCCTGAAGAGAAGTCCTTGCCTCAGACCTAGGTAGCTCACGAACGAGAACCTCTGACTCAGGGATCTGAAGAACCGAGGCCGTGCTGAGGAAGGGGATTCAAGTCCTAACGCATCTCTAGGCAAGAAAGCCCAAGAGACGCTGGAGGAAGCCGCCCATTTCTTTGAGTATTTGGCATATCTCCTAAGGGCCTTTCTAGCCTTTTATTCTGTTTTCTTTCTGACAATAACATGAACTGACTCACACTGAAGATGGGAAGCCCTTCCATTCTGAGGTTCTGTGGACTGACCCACCGATCCTTGCTTAACCTTTGGACTCAAGGTGATTTTCTGTCCTTCCGAATGGCGCCTGTCTCCTGCATTCTTACTCTCCAACAGCTGCAAATCCATCGCCTTCCTTGCTGCTGATGACAATGATAATACTGAAGCAGGTGATATTTATTGAGAGCTTGTTTTCTGCCAAGCACTGTAATATATAGTGTATGTACATGTATTCTCACATTGATTCTATTATTCTCTCCACTTTCCAGATGAAGCAACTGGGCTCACAGAGCTTAAAATAACTTTCTCAAAGTCATGCTTCAAATAAGCGATGGAGGCAGCTTTCAAGCCGAGGCTAGGTTTTCAGAAATGTCTGGCCTGACAATGAATATTTGATTTCTCAAAGCAGCAGGAAATGAACAGTATAGTGGAATTTTTCATTTTCTGCTACACCAAGATCTCAATAAGTCACCCTAGTACATGTGGAAGTATGTTTCTTGCCATATGGTAAACGTGTCATAAGGTAGTACCATCTTATTGTAATACATGCCATATCTAGTGAGCGCTAACTGTGTGCCAGGCTGTGGGCTAAGTGCTTTACACATACTAACTCGTGCCGTCTTACAACAACCGGATGAGGTAGGTATTATTACTACCTCCACCTTACAGTTGAGGAAACCATGGCACAGACAGGTTAAGTAACTTGCCTAAGGTCACGGAGCTAGTAAGTGGTGCAGCCAGCATTCATACCTGGCAGTTTGGTTCTAGAATCTATGCTTCAACCACTAGCATACACTGACTCTCATATATACAGTCATATAAATGAATGAGTGGATGGATGGATGAATAAGTATTGATATATATGACTATTTTGTTGCCTATTTTTGTTCACAAAAGAATTTGGTGCTGACTCTGGACAGTCCTATTCTGCGGGGACTCCAGATCGCTCACCATCCTGAGCCCCAGGATACTTCACGGCTGTGTCCTCTGGACGTCACTTCTCCCTTGAGGACATGGGATGAGAATTGAAGTTTCAAAAACCCATGTTAGGATCCCAGCCCAACCCTAGGAAGGGGAGTGAGGCGAGAAAAATGGCCTGGACTCCCTGTAATCTTGACAAAAGAGGAATTTGGATCAGAGTTGACTGGGTTTAGAAAGATCAAGAAACATGACTTTTTAAATAAATACTTTGAATATTGAGCAAGTTGTACCTTTTAGGAACATTCAAAAATGTTCAAATGGTTCACTGGGCCTTTGAAGATTTTTTATTTTCTGTCACAAGAAATCAAATAAGTGAGCTTTTCTCAACTCAATTACTCTGCACTCGCTCTTCATTCAGTTAGAACTGCCATCCTCAGTCCACGTCTGACTTTTCTGTTCTAAGTTCACTATTTGTGCATTTGCCAATATATGCTATGTGGTAGCATTTGCATTCCATCATCTCACCCAGAAACCAGAGTGGAAATTTCTCTGGAGTTCCATCATGAAAGTCCCATTGCTCTTGGGCTCCACCTTGAAAACGTTACTGTTCCCAATATCCATTCTCATCATCTTCCCAAGTTTCTAGTGGATACCTGGCCGCCTGGAATAAAATCGACATCCCCCAGCTCCCCTTGCTGTGGCACGTGACTAGGTTCTAACCAATGAGATGTAGGAAGGTATGTGTGACTTCTGGAAAGTGCCCTTCAAGGGAGGGGACACGCCCTTCATCACCTCATTCTCTCTGCTGTCTGCAATGTGACGTAATGGCAAGAGCTTCCGTAGCCATCGTGGACCAAAGTGTGACCTGGAGAATGGAAACCGTGCATGACAGGGCAACTAGAGAGAAGGAGCCTGGATCCCTGACACGTAGACCCCCCTATAAGCCCTGAACTGACCACCTCTGCACTTTCTGAACGTGAGAGAGCAAGAAACTTCTGTCATTCTTTTCCTGTTTCTTGGAGCCTAAGCTAATTTCAATTCATACAAGTACTGTCTTCCCGAGAAAGCTGACTTTTCCAGAGCCAGCCAGTGACGAGATAAAAGTAGGGCCCTGACTTGGGCTCGCATTAACAAATTCACAAAGGCGCTTTTGATTCTACAGCCTTGCAGGAGAGACCGGCCAGCCCCGCTCACCTCGATGGTGAAGATTACGGGCTCCAGGTCCTCATAGGCGATCTTTGTCTCTTCCACTGCACGCTTTGCCTGTGCCTCCGTCTCTGCAACCACAGCACAGACGATCTGGCCCACGCACAGCACCTGGGGAAGGTACATGTGTGACGCAGGCAGAAGACTCTGGGTGGAAGGAGGCTCAGCTCATCCTCACCGGTGGCTGGTGCCTTAATGATCCTTCTTGAGCAACGAGAACCACACTGGAGGCACATTCGATTCCGTGTGCTTGGCGGAAAATTTTTAATTAAAAACCAATTTAAATCATACAGACGGTTCCATTGGCCATGTTACTCAATGCATGTAAGCCCCTAACCTCACATCCCAGAGTGGATGTGAGATTGGCTGTGACCTGAATCTGCTGGGTCCTCTGTCAAGCTTGGTTCACATGTGTCACTATCATGATGTCATTTCAGAGTCTAAAGATAAGGGAAGTATTTTTTGTACAACGCGGCTCCCATTGTGAACTAAGCCGTGTCCTCCCCCAAATTCATCTGTGGAGGCGCTCACCTCCCACGCGGCTGCATTTGGAAAGAGAGACCGTACAGAGGACCTTAAGGTTAAACGAGGTCATAAGGGTGGACCAGAGCCCAACATGACTGATGTCCTGATAAGCAGAGCAAGAGATCCAGGGAGGCTTGTGCGCGGAGAAAAGGCCACATGAGGACACAAGGAGAAGGCAGCCCTCTGCAAGCCAGGAAGGGCGGCCTCGGGAGGAACCGGACCTGCCAGCACCTTGATCTTGGACTTTCTAGCCTCCAGAACTGTGAGAAAATACATTTCTGTTTTTTAAGTCACCCAGTCTGTGGTATTTTGTTGTGGCTGCCTGAGCAGAAAATGCAGCTCCTAAATGAAAGCCAGCCCTTCATCTGGAGGTCACACAAATGAAAGTGGTTCGTTCTGTGGCTAGAGGAGAAATAGTCTACGCAGGACTCACTGAGATGTGACAATAGCAGCTGACACTTCCTGGGAGCCTTCACATGCCTTACATGCAAGAACTCATCCAAATCTCACAATACGGTGAGGTGCCTGCTACGATTACTCCCCCCACAGAGGATGATACCAAGGGCGCCCCGCTAGTGCGTGGTGGAGCTGGAGCACGAACCAGGGTGGTCTGGCTCCGACAGCAGGTGCTCAATAGATTATCGGAGAATTGAATTAAAAGGTCAGATGTGGCAAGGGCAACTTCATTAAAAGTGGAAGGTGTGACGGTAGGTGGGAGGTGGGTCTAGGAAGGGAGGGAGGTCAGTATAAATAACAGGGAGTGGCTGTATGATCTGTACTCTCCTTTCTAGATCTTTCTAGGGTAGTCTGACCTGATCCAGGTCAGTGCCTAGATTTATTCTTCAGGTGAGGCTAAATGGACTCGAGAGCACACAGTCGGAAAACTAGGACTTATTGTTTTTCTGTAATAAGTTTCCTTTTATGTTATTTCTTGCCTCCAGAAAAGCAGCTCTGTCTGAATAAAGACATCGGGGTTAGACAGAAGCTGGAAGAATTGTCCCTTCTCCCCCCGACAGCAGACATTGCTGGGAGGCAATGGAGAGCCGGCTGGAGGTGGCGCCTCGGTGAATATTTGCACAAAGTCATCTGGGAAGGCATGTTCTGTACCTTATCTACAGCCAACAGTTTGTCATCTTCGGCACCATTGGTGCCTGGAATGTCCTCAGCTGTTATCACATCAACCACCCCGGGGAGTTCAAGGGCCTTGGACAAATCAACTGATCTGAAAAGAGAGAAATATTTAAGAGGTAGAAATCAGAAAGCTTGGAGGCCCCAAACCTTTAAGGGAGGGAGAAAGCATGGTTGAAAATCAAAATATATAACAACTGGCCCAACTAGGCCCTGACCAATTGAAGCTGACCCACCACAGGAGGGTCCAGGAGGCCCCCTGCTGGGCCAGGGGTAACACTTTTGCTGCTGGGAGGGGAGCTTGAGGAGGGGCCGGTGTGGTTGCGGCAAGGGGTGTCCTTAGGGAGCTTAGGACAGTGGCCATTTAACATGTAGTAACGAAGGACCTCAGTGTTTTATCAGTCACTGAATGTCGGCCCTGCTCAGAGGTACTCCTTCGAGCCCTGCCCAAGGCTGCAGGGGGTAGAATGAGGTGTTGGGAGGCTGAGCCGGAAGCAAGGGGCCCATAACTAGGATTTTTGTTCTTGCATGCTGGTCATTTCTGGATTCTCTCCCTTCCTCCTCCTGGGGCTGCTGACCTTTTCTTTACTCTTTCCATTTTAGATCCTTTGGGTTTGGGACATCACAGGAGAATGGACACATTCCTCCCGGGGAATCCCCAGGTGTGCTTTTAAAAGGCTTTTGAAAGCTTTTCATTTACTTACATGATTTTTGCATGGGCTCTGGTACTGGTCACCAAAGCCATGAAAAGTTCTTTATCCACCGTGGGGATGTCATCGCAAAATATGGCTTCACCTGTGGCATGTTTGAGACCTGACAGGTGCATGATGGGCCGTCCGACTGGATCCTGGAGGGCTTGGTGAGAGTCCACACTCTGCAGAGGAAGACGTGAGATGCCCTGGGAGCCTTTAATCTCAGGAGTGGCCCGGCCAATCACTGACCCTCCTGACTCGGGATGGAGAGATCAACGGTCACCCTCGGGCAACAAACTGGGCCAGATGATGAACGTGACAGTTTTATGATGTAACTAGACTGGGGACTTGTCATTTTAGTTATATGGCAATGCCTTCGACAGGGCCAACCTTTTGGCAAAATTGGGAAGTAGGTGAAGGGGCACCCAGCTTCTCCTTTTGGCATCTTTCCAAGTGGGGACCCTGGACCCCTTTCTGCTGGCACTCAGAGGGTCTCCCTGTCCTGCTTTCTTGCCTTTCCAATGATCAACCTATTCAACTATAAAGCGATCATGATGATGAGGCCTAAAGTGATGTAATTCCTCAGGGTGGGGGACCAAAATCTTAGCCCAAATCCTGCTTATTGACTTGAGCAGGGCCTCTGGGGAGGGAGGGGAGAAACCGCAGTGGAGTCCACCCAGACCAGGACTAAGGTGCCTTGGCTGCCCCTGTTGGTGGCACAAAAACATCCCTGGGAGGAGGAGGACACGGAGAAGGCGTTTATCCTGGAACTGTCCTCAGGGAAGAGCTGGTGTGGAGACGGGGTGAGGGGAGGGGTTGTGCTCTGAAGACAACAGTAGAGACTTTCTCAAGCGTCCTTCAGGAAGGGTGTGGCCAGTTACTCGCAGAGCTCTTGTTTTCCTGACTGGAGGTTGCACATTTGCCATCAGGGCTGAGGCTGAACCCGGCCGCTCCCCTGCTCTGCGCTCCCCCACACCTGCTTTAGCTGCTCTTGGAACAGCTGCTCGGGAGCAGCAGTGCAGAGACTCAGTGATGAGGCAGAGGGCCAGCTGCTCCAGGTCGGCTCAGCCTCGAGTGCATCTAGCGGCAGCCCAGGCCTGATCTGACACCCAGCATCTTCCTGATGTGGCCTGAACAAACGCCGATATCTAGCAAAACTGGAAAGTCCGACTAGAATCACACTCTGAAGAGCTTGCTGTTCAACAGCTATCACTTTTTCTCTTAGTTTCTAGGTTTCTGTTAAGTTAAACTCACTGACCTGGTACCTTTGGACGCCCTGGGGTACTGTGGCCGGGAAATCTTCTAGAGCGCTTAGGAATCGGTCTGAAATTTCAGGAAAATGATGGCCATCCTGAGAGACATAATTCAAATTCAAAATGAGACAGAGAAGGCGATTAGTCGATGATTGAGCTGGGCTGTGATTTATGTGAAAATGACTTGGGCAAAGTGTCCAAGACACGGCAGGGCCAGGCTGGCCTGGGTAACCCAAATCCACATCACCCCCCAGGATTTCACTTTTTATCTGAACATTTCTTGCCCTCCCTCCCTTTGCACATGATGTGGAACTGGACTGACTGGTTTGAACCTGATCTCAAGCCACCCGGAGGAGGGAGAGGCCTGCCAGCCAGCTGGCCCGCAGAGGCAGGGGGAGAAGCCAGGACGTTTGGGGCTGGACAAGCCCTCCCAGAATGGGCTGGAGTTCACTGGACACAAAGATCCCCCGTCCTGATTGCTCTTCTCAGAACTCAGCTGTTCTGGAAAAGCAGTAAAATCAGGACGCCTCTCTGGGTGTCACTGAAACACATCAAGTGTCTTGATTCAGGAATTAAACGGCAGCAAGGACGATCCTGGTGAATGTGGCTGGTGAGGGGCTTCACGGAGTGAATGAAAACCAGACGCTTTAGGAACCCTGCACGGCGGGGTGGGGTGCGGTGGGGAGATGGGGTGTGCAAGGCAGGGCGAGAGCTACAATCACGGTCGGAGGAGGAAAGAGAGAGAGAGGATGTTTTACTTTGCTTGACTTATTCCAGAAGTTTACAATCAGAAAATCTGGAGAGAAGCTACTTAAATGTTAGCATAAGAGTAAGTTTTGGTATTTTTGAAAAATAAAATTCAATTTTATATCTCATATTGAGTTTAAAATTCTAGAACAGGCAAAGCTAATCTATAGTCCACAAAGCAGGTCAGCAGTTGCCTGAGGGCCGACAGCAGAGGGGCCAAAGGAGAATTTTTGGGGTGATGGAAATGCTCTAGATCTTCTTGGAGCTGGTGGCTACACGGGTTTACACATTTGTCAAAACCGCTGAATTTAACTAGGTGCATTTTATTACATTTAATAATACTTCAATAAGGTTGATTTTAAAAGGAACCACATCGTGTACCAGAGGCAGAGGACCCTGTTTCACTGCTCTGGGCCTGCAGTACACATCTGCAGCATCCTGACCCTCAGGGAGTGGCCCTGGGGGGGCGGAATCCCAGAAGGAGGGATGGCTAGGAACTGACCAGGCCTGAGCTGGAACAAGTGACAGGTGACGGGGCAGGCTGCCGACAAGACGGTCTGCAAAAGCGGTGGGAAAGCTGGGAGTTCACGGCAGCAAGGAGCATGCAGAAGCCAGAGCACTTACGGGCACAGAGAGCAGCTTGCCCGGCTTCTTCAGTTCCTGCAGAACCTCCAGGTAGAACTTGAAAAAGAAGCTGACCACCAGAGTCCTCTTGAATTCCACACTGCCCCCCGGAGCCCCGCCTGGGAGGGAGACTTCGTCCAGGAGCAGCCTGCAAGCCTCATCCAGCATCGGCTCATTCCAGCGCCTGGGAAGGTTGCAGGCAGGAGGAACCAGCTGACGAGCAGTTCCAATCGAGCGGTGCGTGCTGGGTATTGCATGGGGATAAGCTGGAGAGCCCAAGTCTCCTTTTAGGAGTTGGAAGGGAACTTCAAAATCACCTCACCAAGCCCTTCAGGAAAACCGGGGCCTGGGAGGCTGCGCCCAGTGACCCGAGGGTCATGGCAGGCTGGGGATGGCACCTGTCCCATTGCAACCTGAACCAAGCATGTTCAAGAGCCAGAACCAGGCATTAAAGAAGTAGACCATTAGGGCCCATTCCATCACGAACTGCACAGGACTCAGACTCGGACACTGCCTCACTGAGGCAGAGGGAGGGGGTCCTGGGCAGCGGGAGCTGCAGGCGCCACGTGGACGTGGCCTGGCGTGGCTTTGCTGGGGATTGATGAACACAAGAGAATGGGGCTGCACACAGTCCTGGGCCATTTTTGGTGTATTGCTCACCCAAAGAGTGGTGCTTAATTAATCACAGTCAAATAAGATCTGATTCATTTAGCGAAATTACAGAAGGAACAACTAGTAATGCCCCCCAGAGGAGTTTCCACCCTCCTAGCGCTTCACCAGCTCCTGCTGCAGCCAAGCTTCCACTTGCTTCTGTGATGCCAAGTTTCACCCTCGGGGGGCAGCATTTGTCGCTTACCTGCCCAGGAGCTGCTGGCAGGATTTCTGTGCACTGATTGTGGCATCCCCAACCCCTCCGTAAGCCAGGCTCAGGTCCTCAATGGTGTCCGTGCCTTCTTGGAAGAGGACTCGCATGCCAGCCGTCACGTCGGCCAAGGCATTCTGCTGGCACTGAGCCTGTCGGAAGGCTGACACAAATTCCCACTGTGGAGACAAAACTCGTGAAGTTATATGATATGTCAAAGCTTTGACATGGTTTCCGCTTCTTGGTGCCACTAATTGATCACTTAGACTCAATCGAAAGGGACACAAAAGACACTTGGCACAATCAGAGAGAACTTGGCTGCCTTCTTGTTCCAAGTGAGAATGATGTCCGCCCAAGGTCCTCCCCTGGGGAGGCCAGGATGCCTCACACGGAATGCCTGGGTCATTTCCACAAGCCCTTCTTTCCAGGTGCCCTTCCCTCTTGCCTTCAGATGTCTTTGTCCCCACGAGGATGGAAGAGCCCCCCCAACACATATGCTTTCAAATGTGATTTACTTAAAGTGCAAAAGAGACCCACCACATTTCTTGGTTTGTAGAAACGGTCACTTTTCCATTTTGCAAAGCTCGTAAAGGAGTTGACTAAAACTTTCCAACAGTGACCTGGGGAATCTTGCATCAGGAACAAGAGTTAGGAGGGTGATGGCTGCCCCACTGACCCCTTGGCACCGTGACGGCTGGTGTGCTGACATGAAGTTAACGGAGGTGCCTGTGCCTCCAGTGCGTTCCATCTGCGTGGCCACTGATGGTGCTGTGTTTGAGTCTGCCTGTTGTTCTGTCTGGGGCCTTTATGCAGATGCACATTTGACTGGGAACACACTTCGGAGTTTCCATTCCAAGGGAAAAATAAATGAAGCTCCTACATGGCTGAAGGCAGGACTTAACATAAGACTTTTTGCATAACCCAGCTTTGGGTCTGTGTGTATGTGTGTGTGTGTGTGTGTGTGTGTGTGTGTGGTATTGCCTCTCTCAGGAAGTGTCTTCTCAGATTGGATTCAGGCACAGTTTTGGGGAGAGGCACAGGGAAAAGGGAGTGAGGACAGAGGGCCCCTCCTTTCACCCCCAGAGATCCTGAGTCAGTCAGCGTCTGGAGGCCCTCAGGCTCCTGTGAACCGCTGGGGTTAGCTGGAGGAGGGGGGCACGGGGAGGCCTGGCCCCAGCCTCCTTCTCCCTATGGGTCAGGCAGAGCAGCTCTCTCCACAGCCAGAGAACTTTAATTTCTGCCTCCCAGAGTCGACCCCTGGACATCAGCAGGCGTGGAAGCACGACTGTGGCCTGCACAGGCCCCGCCCCACAGCTGAAACAACCCCAAATCCACACCCAGAGCTGCCTGCCCGAGGGTGAGGCCCTCGGGGCCGGGCCAGGCCACAGCAGGCAGGAAACAGGTTTTCAGGGCAGAGCTATTTTCCTTCCATCTGCTTTCAGATTTCCAAAGATGATTGGACGCAGTTTCGGGAAGGGAAAAACAGTTCTCAGAAGTGACCAGCGAGTTCTTACCCTTTGAGAGTGAGGGATGTACACCGACTCCAAAATTTCCTCTGGCTTAAGGTCTGCACTTGCCAACCCAGCAAGAAAATCTCTGTCTAGAGGAATCTGCCGTGTCCCTTCTGTGGAAGAAAATGACATTTCTGCACGGTCACAACAAGGAATGTGAGATTATTCTGTACTTTAAACGTCAGCAGCAAAGAAGAAAAGGCCACGTTCCTCTGCACCAAGCGATGCTGAGGTCTGAGCATGTGGCCACCCAGGGCTCCCCGTCCCCTCCTCAGGCTGGACATGCTCTTGGAACCTGGGCTCCTCCGCCCCAAGGCCGCCAGGCTAGCACGGTCACCTCTCAGCAGATGCTGGGTGACTAAATCTAAGTCGTCCGATACTAAGATCAAGATAAGGGCGTCACTTCAGCCGAGACGGGGTTCGTCTCCAGTGTTATCGGAGTTGGAATCAGTGGATTTGCTTTGTGTTCTTGCTGCTGCTTTTGGCTCCTGCAGCGGATACCTCCACCGTTAGAGCAGAGAGAACAATTCACAAAACCTCCTTTCAGCCCAGTTGTTACCACTTAGTGGTCAGAGCGTGCCCTCTGGCTTTAGAAGGCGGTTGTGTTCTCGTTTCGTTGATGGTTTCCTTTGCTGGGCAGAAGCTTTTTAGTCTGACGTAGAAATGAGTCAGACAGAGAAGGGCAAACCCACATGATTTCACTCGTGTGAAGACAGACAGACACATAGCTAAGGAGAACAGATTGGCGGTTACCAGAGGGGAAGGGTGAGGGGAGGGTGAAAGGGGGAAGAGGGACATACTATGGTGATGGATGAACTGGACGCTCGGTGGTGAGCACGATGCAGTCTATGCAGAAACTGATACATAATAATGGACACCTGAAATTGACACAGTCATAAGCCAATATGACCTCAATAAAATTATTAAAGAGTGAAAGAACAAGCGGTTTGTGGCTCCCCAGGAGGTGCGGTGGGAGATCAAAGCGCAGCCTCGCCATCTGTCGCGGGTTCGTGCCCTGGCACTTGTGCCGATTGGCAGAGGGTGCGGCGGAGAAGGAGGCCCGGGGAGCCCTGCTGGCCGCTGCCGCCTGCCCGCCGCCTGGTCGGCCAGCTCGTCCACCGGCCCCGCGGGGGCTGGGGGCGCTGAGGGTGGAGTGGCTTTGGTAGAGCTGGGAGAACAGAGACCGTCAGCTGTTTTCCAACAGCCCAAGAGAAGAGCCCAACTACTGCCCTTCCTACTAGTGTGGGGTGCCCTGCGTGGAGGCTGGGCCGTCCTTGCTGTCCTGAGGCCCCAGAGTCTAGGCTTTTTCTCTCTGGGTCTTAGGGGGCGAGCTGGGGTCGTCCTGGACCACGGGGCTGGAGGACTCAGCAAAATGGCTGACGGGCCGAGCAGGGGTGAGGCTTTTGCTTTCCTCCTTCCGGGGTGGGCCCCGTGCAAAGCTGAACAGGGGAGAGCGAGTTTGTCCTCTGCCACCAAGTCTCTCCCCGCGCTTCTGAGTTCCCGCCAATGGGGGATGGGAGTGTGTTAGCTAACAAACCCTGCGGGAGGGCTGCGATGCCTGTGATATGATTCCTAGTGGGACACCCCCCACCCCAAGCTCAGGCCAGGCAGCTTGTGCTCGCTCCCGGCGCCCCAGAGCCCGGGCTGTGTTAGCCCCAAGGAGTGAAGGACAGACCCGCTGAGTGGGAGGGACAGAGGGAATGGGTGTTTGATGAGTTGGTGTAGGGGGAGCCATGGGAGGGGGAGTGAGAGGCCCTGGGAGGTGGCCTGATGGGGAAGAGGCAAGCACACCGTATGGAAATGACAGACTGGGGCTCCCAGACAGGGAGACAAGTGTGGTGTAGCATGGAGCGGCCCAAGCCGGCATGGAAGTTAATCACTGCCTTCCTCCTGCCCCAGGGGGCCTGGGTGTCTGCAGTGCTCCTCACCAGACTTGTGGTTCCCACACAGTCCCTGGAGGGGGGCCATGAAGAGGAGTGGGGAGCGGTCCTCAGCCCCAGAGCCTTCGCCTCAGCCGCCGTACACCGCCCTGGCTGACACAAGGGCTGAGCTGTGGCCTGGGGGGGTGTGTGTGTGTGTGTGGTGGGTGGTGCCAGAAAGAAGCACTGGCCACCTCCTTGGGTCACTGTGCTTTTCTCCAGGAGCCTGAGCTCCCCATGGTGGTTCGAGAGCCAGAGACCTGGGCTCTCACTTGGAGCAGTTCCTTAAAAAAGACAAAAAATCTCCAGGTGCTGTTCAGAGCCTTCCAAGGCAGCTTACCTTTGGACATCAGATTGAGGGCGGTGTTGCCCACAGCCAGAACTGGATTCAGATCCGAATAGCAGTGCCGGCTCATGATATGTCCCCCTAAGGACTAAGGAGAGAGAGGGATAGACTCGGTCATCTTATCCCTCAAACCCCACGCCCCCAGGCACCTGCTGACGGTCTTCTCTGGTGGTGGAGGTGTCCAGAGGAAGCTTGGTCTCCTTTGCAGAGGGACTCAGACCTTCGGGGAGGACCCCCTCCCACCCGCAGCTTTGAGTGGGGAGAGGAATTGATGGCAAACAACACTGGTGTGGCGTTTGGTAAGTTCCACCTGCTGTCTAACCTCTTCACACATGTTTACCCACTTCATCCTCACAACAGCCCAGTGAGATTGATGCCATCATCCCCGTTTTACAGATGAAGACACTGGGGCACAGAGAAATTATGAAACTTGAGCAAGGTCTCCCAGCTTGGAAGGGGCAGGCCTGGGATTCCAATCCAAGCAGCGAGGCTCAGTGGCAGTTCTGAACCACCTCCTCTCAACCTTGACCACAGTGCAGGTGGCCGTGGTGTTGGGTACAGAGATGCCGTCCTGCCCTGGGTACAGCAGCATCTCAGCCTCATCCCCCATGACCTCTGAAACTGCTGGACCTCACTTGGGCCAGGCTGGGGTTCTGGGCATCCCCACCACCGAGAGAGCTGCCCTATTCCTCTTCCTGGGGCTCCACTCGGCTCTGGTTGAGCCTGTAGCATCTCAGAACTCGGGAGGGAAATGACTGGCCATTCAACTCGGTACAGTCCTCCCCACATAGTGATGGAATCCACAGTGCCCGCTGGGTAGCTGTGGTCTGGGCTGGAACATGGGTGAGGACGGAGAACCCCCAGTCCTCGATGAACAGCTTGATTTTGAAGTTCTTGTTTCCATGGAGCTGGAGTCCACCTGCCTGGACTCTCACGTGTCGGTCACACTCCTGCCCTATGTGAGTGTGTGAAATAAATCGGTCTGTCCTCAGAGTCTAGAAATATTTGAAGGCCGTTCTCGTGATCCCTCTGACTTTGCCCACCCCGGCCATTCCTCTCTCTGATGTGGTTCCAACCCCTCATTCTCCTGCCACTGTCTCCTTGCCAGGCTCCAGGGTGTCAGCCAGAGTTCTGGACGGGAAAGGGCATTTTGGAATCACTTGAAGAGCTTTTTCAGGGGAAACACGTCCTCCCCAGATTCCTACACCCCAAGGATTTCTAAGGCACCATTTGGGGCATGTAGGAGAGGAAGCAGGTATATTTTGAAAACCTAACGAGGTCTCTTCTGCTTTCTTCCAAAGTCAAAAATAACCAGACCTTAAAGTGTGCCTCCCGGATCTGAGCGTTATTCTCCAGCTGTGCTGAAGAATAGTCCTGATTTTAGGTGCTATACTTCTGTAGTGCAGCCTAAGACTAAATTAGATTCTTCCACAGTTTTATCAAGAAATTAGCAAAACCGTGACATCTTTTTCCCACCTATATGGCTACTTGGCTATTCTCTTGATTTTGACTTAGATTCTTCTTTTAAACATGTCATTAAATAATGTGTGTTAAATATTAAATATTTATTGTGCCAGTCATTTCAGCCTGCTGGGACCCTTTTGCCTACTGATTCTGCCGATCCCCGTTTCAATATTTCAGTGATATTAAGAAATCGGCGCGGTGTGCCTAAGGCTTGGCCCAGAGGACGTACTGCCATATTCCGGATCTGCTGGCCTGCCAGCCTCTTCAGGTGCTTCAGGAGGGCTCGGTACGTCTGAGTTTTCTCCTCTGGGAGCTCGGAAACCCTCCCAGCCAAGATGTCCTTCACCTGGGCCAGACTGCAGCCAGCACCTATCGTCAGCCCTGGAAAGCAAATGGTTTTCATAGGTGACATGGGAGGAGCAGCTGAATTGTAGCCCTGGTGCCAGGGCCTTATGTTTGGCTAGTGCAATGGCTCTGCACACTGACTGCACAGAGAATCACCAGGAACTCAAAACCGGCACAGATGCCCCGCTCCCAGATCAGTCAAATGGGAATCTCTGTGCACGGGGCTTTTTCAAAGGCTCCCGGGTAGCTCTCCAGTGCAGCCAGTGTTAGAAACCCCTGGGCTGGCCTGCACCCTTCTTTGGAAAAGGCAAGGAAATAGAGGGTAGAGAGAAGGAATGACAGTCACGACTAGCAGGTGGCAGACCCTACGAGAACTTTCCATGACCCCCTCCTGATCGACCACAGTGAAGCTCTGCAAAGCTGTTTTGTGATTAAGGGGGATACATCTGATGGCATTATAATAACACCAAAGGTCTTCCAGCTCCCGAGGTCATTGTCTCAAGTCAATAATGCTGTGACTGCCCATGTGCACTTCTACAGGTGGCCTTGATGCTCAGAATCGTCAACAACCCAGTTGCTGAGGGGCACCGGCCAACCAGAATGAAGATGGCTGGGTGGGGAGCTGCCCCAGGTATTGTGTGAGTTGTTGTTGGGCATGGGGACATTGGGGGTCCCCAGGGAGGAGCCAGGGAAGCAGGAGCTGTGGCAGAGCATCTGGGAGGACTGGGGCAATGCTATCTTCTACCTGGCGAGGAGGTCATTCAAAGTTCTAACCCCCGTTGCAGCCACACCTCTGAGTATCGGTAGGATATTAGCACGGGGGTTTCTCCATGGTAGGGATGTAAGGGTTCAGATCCATCTTTGAAAGTGGAATCACCCAAGCCATCGGGAGATGACTTAGTCAGCCTTTTAAAGTTAATCCTTCCTGTTCCCCAGGGTTTGCAGAATGAATCACTGACCCGTAGAGTTAGATTTGATATCAGTTCCAGGGTGGGGTCTAACTACAGTGAGTCTGTTTTTATCAGGTTGCAGGCTGGGCTTGATTTTTCTCTTGTGGATTAATCTTTGAGAATATTCCTCCCTCCCACATAGCTTTGTTTTATCAATATTAAAAATGTACTTGGCACAGTATTTCCCCCACCCCTGCCAACACGCCCGAGTAACCGCCACACCCCGCTGCTTCAGTCATCTCGGCCAACCTAACAGAGCAGGGAAGCCGCGGCTGCTGCTCCCTGTCCTTACTCGAACCAAATCTAAGCTGCCCCTCCTCCCGGGGACTTCCCGACCTGCAGTCCTCACGCTGTCTCCCTCCCGGCGTCTCATAAGAGGCACTCCGTGACGCGGGATCCTGTGCCAGGCCCGTCAGCGATGGGCTGTTGCTTCCTCTCGCGTGGGCTCACTGGAGCGTGGTCTTTAACTTCTGCAGATGTCCTGGCCTGGTGTTTGCCCACAAGGGCGCTGGGAAGACCAGGCTTGCTTCTTGTCCTACAATTCCTCCTAGCCTAGACCCAGAGCCTTAGTGGTAGGCAAGAAATCAGAAGCAGAAAGACTTATTATTATTATCTTTTTAAGGTCAGACTGTCTCTTCTCTGAACAGAGTGGAAAGGGGCAGGTCAGCCCAGGGAGGGGAATGTGCCAGCTGTCCACTCTGCTGCCTGCGTCCTCAAGAGTACAGACTTCAGCCTCAGGCTGAGGCCGGACAGTCACTCGGGGGCTTTTGTTCGGCTCTTTCTGAGCCTCACATTACCCCGCACTTCGTGCTGGGCAAGACACCGCGGTATGGAGACCACGCTATTTTCTGTGCTTGTTCATGTTATTCCATCCTTGGGCACAGACCGAGCTTGAGTTCCAAAGGAGTTGAGCTTTCACTTTGATTCTCAGAACGTGGGTTCTGTTTAACTCACGCTTCTCAGAGTTCGTGGGTCCCTGGGAAAAGGTGCAGCGAGGTTCTGGAGCGCTACCTACACTGAAGATTATGAGAAAGAAACGTGCGCTCAGCCAAACGTGTAGGTGAGACGGGTTAGTTTGCAAAATTTAAACAAACGTAAGCCGTCACAGAAATTTATTTCCCAGGGGGTGCTGGCTGGGGGGAGAGGGCCCATCTGGCTCCAAGTTTCCCCTTCCTTACCAGTGTCCTTTGCTCTTTTGGCCTTAGGAAAAGTTGGAGAATGCTGGGAAACTTCCCTGGGGGCCACTAGAGGCTGCTCACACTTTAAGTTTTTTGCCTGAGCAAAGCTCTTCCTCTCATTTTTGCTTGAGGAAGATTTGCCCCGAGCTAACATCTGTTGCTAATCTTCCTCTTTGTTTTGCTTAAGGAAGATGTGCCCTGAGCTAACATCTGTGCCAATCTTCCTCTATTTTATACATGGGATGCCACCACAGCATGGCTGACGAGTGGTGTAGGTCTATACTCGGGATCCAAACCCACGAACCTGGGCTGCTGAAGTGGAGTGCACAGAATTTAATTCCCTCACACTGTAATTTTAAGAGGCCCCAGGAAGGTGCATTGTTTCCTCAGATTTCAGAAGTTGTCTCTACTTTGCCTCCAGAGTCCAAACAGTCCATTCAAACAGCCAGTTGGACAGGTATGGGGCAGGCCGGGGCTCAGAGCATGGCAGTAACGGAAAGAGTTCTGAACAGAAGTGGGAGATGTGGGGTTTGCCGACCTGAGCGCCAGCCGTTTGGGGACCTTGGGCAAGTCCACTTTCCTTTAGCGTCTCAGCTTCCTGGTTTGTAAAAAGGAAGGATTGGGGCCACGCTGAGGGTTTTGAATTGTGCCCTGAAGGGCCCTCTCAGGGGCAGATGTGGGGGCTCAGTGACAGGGGGATGGAGGAAAGTCTCCCCTCTCCTTCCAACAGAGCAGCTTTTTTCACTGACTTCTTTTATTTGAGATTTGCTTGAGGACAGGCTTGTGGTGCCAAAGAGACGTCTGGAGACCACGGGCGAGACCGTGCCTGGGCTGGAGAAGAGGAAAGGGCTTCCTGTCCTAACCTGCTGCTTGAACTGCTTGTCCACGCGCCCAGTCACCCGCTCGCTGTCCCCTCTCCCTCTGCCATCGCTAAGATTTCAGTCAATCTGAGCACATTCCCTCACTGTCGGAGCGGCGTTCAGAAGTGCTACCTGAATCGTCCCGAGGCTGATGCTGTGAGGCCGGGTGCTGGGCAAAACCAGGAGGGCCCCTGCCCTCCAGATAGGAGCCGGGAGCGGGGAGGGGCTGGCTTGCTGTCTGCAGCACTGACTGAGTTTGGCTGATGGTGGTCAGCGGCCAGGAAGGTCGGACTCCTGGATGGCAGTGATATGGCCCAGGCGGGTCCGCTGTCCTGTCCCTCACTGACCCCCACAAACGCTTGGTAGCCTCCCGGTCAGTCTGGATTGAATCCTTCAGTTCGGTCAACCTCCGTGTTGGTTAAGTTGAGGAAGTCATTGTTTCCACTGCGTCCCAAATTCGCGTTCCTCACCCAGGTGTTCACTCGGATTTCCTGTCACGTCATTTGTCGGTCGTTGACTGAGCATCAGGTGCACAGACAGTCCTTACGTGCTGGGAGCTCTGGGGATGAGGAAAGCGCCATAATGTGGTTCCTTTTGTCAAAAGCTTTGCTGTGCTTCTCGAAGAAAGAGTCTTGCACGTTTCCTTCCTACTTCGTGAGTGCCGCCTTGCTGATGTGGTATCTGCACAGAGTGGGCCCTTAACGGATGTTGTAAATGACTGGGGGATGCTTGCCCGGGTAGGTCTTTGTCCCATTTTGCCCCTTGTCACTGTCCCTAAGAGACAAGTAGCATTCAAGTGCCAGATAATACTTCTACTGTCCCCCTGCAGACATCCTCCCTCCCTGGAATTGACCGCTTAACCGATTGCTAGCACCAGTTCTCTGGCGCTGTCTTCCCGTCAAAGTGACACTGCAAATTCGCTGTCTCTAGGTCACCATGGCATTTTATAGGCAAGAATCCTGCAGGTGACCGCAAGGTCTTGAGTGATATCATCTGAATACCTCATCTTCTGGGCAAAGTTTTCGATAGTAAAGGTTCATGGTGGGGATGCAGCATCACATCGGAAAAACGATGAAGAGGGGAAACAGGCCAGACAAGACAAAGGTACGAGATGGACAAAGGTCCGCGCTATTTGGCAAGTGTAAGTTCAGTGCAGGGACCACTGATATCTTACTGAGAACACCAGGAACTCACCCTCGCTTGTTGTGGACACCATACTCAGCTCAGAAATCCTAGCAGGAGAGAGGAGAACTGGGTGAAAATGTCCTTGAGATTTCTTTGCAGGTCCTGGAAAGTAAATATATATTTTAGAGACAGTTAGGAAAGGCAAAATGCCTTTTATTGGCATTGAAATTTTCTCATAAAAAATATTCAGATACTAATTTTAAAAATTGACAATAAATGTGAATAGATGTGAAAGCAGTGGCCATACACCCTGCCAAGTGAATTTGCAGAGCATGCTCTCCCAGGACATGTATTTATACACTCACTACAAGTGTATGCAAATAGGAAGTAAAATGGATGAGAGATTCCTGAAAAAACATGTCCTTCGAAGTAGAATGGACAGGCAGATCATGCCGTAGTCACGCAGTGGAATCCAGCACAGCTGCAGGCGACAATATGGGCGAATCTTTGGTCAAGAATGTTGAATGAACAAAGCAAATTGTGGAAGAGTAATATCATGTCAGTCTATTTATGTGAGTTCAAAAATACACAAAACTAATTGACAAATTGGTTAGGGGTACAAATGTATATGGCAAAATTGTAAAAATATGGAAGAGACTGACCACCATGTTCAGCTAACGAGAGCCTCTGAGAGGAAGGGAAGGGAAGGGGATGTGGTTTGGGACGGACCATGGGCCTTCAAAGTTCTTGGCGAAGTTCTCATTCTTTTTTTTTTTTTTGAGGAAGATTAGCCCTGAGCTAACATCTGTGCCCATCTTCCTCTACTTTATATGTGGGATGCCTACCACAGCATGGTGTGCCAAGCAGTGCCATGTCCACACCCAGGATCCGAACCAGCGAACCCCAGGCCACCAAAGCGGGATGTGCAAACATAACCGCTGCGCCACCAGGCCAGCCCCAAAGTTCTTGTTCTTAAACTGGGTGGGAGTGATAACTGGGTGTGCACTGTTAATATATCCACATGTATTATATAAAATTCTATTATATCTACTCAGTATTTAACAAACACAAAATAAAAAGGGACAAGATAAATTATTTAAAAACCTCTAATACTTTTTCCCCACACCTCAAGGGGTCACCCTGCACACTGCCAGGGCATATGGACATCCAACTTTGGAGGCCAATTTTATTATATTATAACATAATAATGTTGTATCACAATTCTATATTGTTACTATAACACATACAACTTATCATTATATATAATCATAATTGTATATCATATATAATGTAATAGTCTACTTTTATAATGTATTGTTATAGTCTTTTTGTTGCAAAGATGAGGTTTTTGTCCTTAAACAATAACTTTTGTAGACTGAGAGCAGAGGAGGATGGGAGGTCCAGCTCGGCGTTGGTGTGGCCTGAGAACTGTTGTCGTCACTCACCCAGTGAGGTGTTGCCCAGGATGAGAGGGGCGTCGGGGTGTTTCACTTTCAGCTCCAGGAGATCCTTGAGGGTCCCGGGGGAGATCCAGGTAACCCTCTCTCCATGAAAGGTCAGCGTTCGCTTTTCTGGGTTCTCCGCCATTCTCTAAGGGCAAATGACAAGTGTGTGTGTCCGTGTGCACACCTGTCTTCCTGGGCTATTAAGAGCCCAGGTGAAGGTATGTTCCTCTAGAGAAAGTTCAGGGCTCCTGGGGTCCACTTGACCTAACAGATACTCACTACACCCATTGGCTATGCCGGGATCCCATAATTAGATGTTTACTCCGTTATCTTAAGACTGGTTAACGTGTAGCTCTTTGGAGACAAATGACAATATAAGCTGGCACCTGTCATTGACCCTTCAGTATGGAATAATTTAACATAATTTAGTATCATGGCTTTAAAAATCATAATTAGAAGCCAGCCTGGTGGCATAGTGCTTAAGTTCGCACACTCTGCTTTGGCGGCCCAGAGTTTGCAGGTTCGGATCCCAGGCGTGGACCTAGCCCTACTCATCAGGTCGTGCTGTGGTGGCATCCCACATAAAACAGAGGAAGATTGGCACAGATGTTAGCTCAGGGCCAATCTTCCTCACACATAATTCATAATTATATTAATGGTTCTAAATTAATATCTTCAGCCTGGACTTTTCCTCTGAAATCGGAATTCATATAGCTGAATGAGGACTCAACGTCTCCTCTTAGCTGTGTAATAGGCATCTCAAATTTAACATGTCCCAAGCTGAGCTCCTCATATCCCATCCTCTTCCAAGTCCCGGAAAAGGACCCCCAGAAGGAAAAACGCCCTCCTCCTCTGGGGTCTTCCTGGACCTGGGATCCCTGCTTCTTCCCTTGCCCCTCCCAAGGCTGTTCCCATCCCAGCAGCCAGAACACCCCAGATCCCACTGCAACGTTAATAGGAGCATATTCCTCCTCTGCCCAGCCTCCCTGAGAGCTGTCATCTCACGCGGAGTGAAAGCCCTAAGTCCAGCAGGGTCCCCGCCCCCCGCGGCTTTCTGACCTCTAGGACCTCCGGCTCTCCCACCCTTCGCACCTCTGCCCTTGCTGGGCCCACTGCCTGGATTGCTCTTCCTCCACGGATCTCTGTGGCCAGCCCCTCACCTCCTTCAGGACTTTCCTCAAATGTTACCTTCTCAGAGAAGTCTTCTCTGGCTGGAATATTTCAAGTTGCAACTCCCAGCATCCTATCTCCCGTCTCTGTTTTATTTTTTCTCCTTCTCACTTGCTAACACACTGTATATCTCTTGTCTATCATCTTGCTTATCGTCTGTCTCTCCCAGCAGGTTACAAACTCCTCGAGGGCAGGTCTTTTTGTTAGTTTTGTTCCCTGCTGCACATTCAGTACCTAGAACAGTGCCTGGCACATTGCTGAATGAATAAATATTTGTTGAATGAATAAACGAACACATCTGAACCCCTTCAGAAGTAGGTATTTTACAGAATGGGCTCCCTGGATGCCCCAGAGGAAAGACAGAGATGCCGACAGAGGGAAGAGTGAGGGATGGGGGGCCTGGAAGTGCTGCTTGGGGTCAACGTACTGGAGCGGCTGGAAAGACCAACGCAGAAGCTGAGCAAGGCTGCCTTGCTGGGGACAGTCAGCAGGGACGCAGTGTAGAGGACAGTGACGGGAGGAACGATGATATCGTTTGACAAATAGCCTGAGCTGAGGCCCGCGCGTGCGGCCTGAGCCAGGCCGGGAAGCCGGGCAGGGACGGGCAGCTGGAGCTGATCGAACATGTCCACAGTTCGACAATTTCACAGGAAGGAGAGGGTTGTTTTAGAAAACTGGGTTAACAACCAGTGACATTCAAACAGGCACATAAAACACCCGACTCATCTTACCAAGAGTTCTGGGGGAAATATGAGCTCCTGGGTAGGGTCCAAGGGCTGGAACTCGTCTTTCGCAAACAACTCTGTGCAAATCTTTGTAAAGGCAGAAGAAGATGGGTGTGTCAGCCCAGTTCGACTGGAAACGGCGTCGCAATTCTTTAATTAGGCAAAATGAACACAGTACTAACCCTCCTACTCTCCTTGTGCAGGGAAACAATTCAAACCAAATTGTTCTAAATAGGATTTTTTTGTTAGAGAAATATGGATTTGCTGCTAATATGACACTAAAAAAAAGGATATTCTGTGAAATATTTCAAACATTATCTTGTGAAACACCAAGACAGTTTATGAAAAACTACCAGAGGTCAAACAAGCTTGGGAAATCCTCTCCACTGTACCCCAGCTACCATCCTCTCATCTGTCAAGTCAGGATTCAAAATGCTAAAAGCTCTGATAAGTCCTGTAGTTTAGGTAAAAATGACTCTAAACATACATGCTCATGTGTAAACACACATGTGCCCCACTAATTGAACAACAGTAGTTAGCATTTATTAAGGATAAGTGGAGTGTGAGGTGAGCTTACCTTCCAAATGCCTTTATGTGCATTAATAATGTATTTAATCCTCATAACAATTGTACAAAGAAAGTAAATTATCATCTCCATTTACAGACTGGGAGACTCAAGCGCCATGAGAAGTTACCCCGGCTGCTCCTGCCTGAATCACAGCTGTTTTAGCTTTCATCCCTGCAGAGATCCGTTGGGAGAGAACTGTGGGATGCAGGACCAGGCCTGTGACAGGGAGCAGAGCCTGGTGGCTGTCGGGGCAGACAGATCGGTTCATTCTCAGCTCTGCCCTGTCTCTGCCCTTTCCTGGGGGAAGGACTCAAGCTTTCTGGAGGTTAACAGGAAATAATGCCCATTTTGAAGGGTAATTGTGACAATTAGGTGAAATGGCCTGACATTTGCCCACCCCCTCTGTCTATTGTCCCAGGTTCCAGAAGGAAAACTTGCAATTGTTCCTGTAAAGGTTCTCAGCAGGACCCCAGATTGAGCATCACAGGCCAACACCCGAATGATTAAATTCTGTGTTAGCTGGAATTAGAAGTGTAGGTGGTACCTGCAAACAATAATGTGGTGTTTCTCTAAAACCTAGAAATGAGATTCTGTCTGAGAATTAAAATGTGAAACAAACATAATGAGTCAGAGAGGAAGAATTAAAAGTTCCCCTGAACAGGTGGTGGGCCCAGACTTAGCAGTTACCCAGTGCAAGGTGTTGACACAGCTGAAAGAGAAAGGGGAGTCTGGGGGCAGAAACCTGCCAGCCAGCAGGTCCTCCCTGGTCAGGGAGTGGAGGCTTCTGTGATGCGACCCTCAAGATGACCCGGCTGCTCTGCATCCACACTCACCATCAACCTTCTCATTCTATTGTGGCCTCCATGTGTGGTTTCTTATGGGGAAAGGACATGAGGCTCAGGGATAGTAAGATCCACTTTATAATTGTGTTTCTCTTTATAAATGAATATCAGGGCACATTCCAGTTTAAATATCATGTTCTTCTGGGTTTGGTTAAAGTAATTCAGGTGGTCCCCAGAGCACAGTCATTGCCGTGGTGAATTCCTGAGGCCGCAAAACCCAGAAGCAGACTTAGCACGTGTTCACCCCTCTAAGGTGCTCATCCTCTGTGGAATGGCCGGGGTGGGGGTCGGCGGGGCACGGCCCACTTTCCTTGGCAACACCCTTCTGTTCTGTTGCACGCCATCTTCAAACCAAAATAAGGTGACAGTGGGAGGCTGAGAACAGAACGAGGTAGGCCTGAGGGAGAGAGCCAGATCCAGGAGGGAGACGCTGGCTGTTGCCTCGGAGGCCAGCCCTGTTCCCTCGGATCTCCTGGTCCACAGGGAGCCGACTCTGTTCTGTCCTGTCTTCCCGCTTCTCTAAGTGATTCCTTTAAGAACTTGGCAGTGGGTCTTTTTTGGAAACAAGCCCCTCTGAGAGAGCAAAGCCAGGCACTGCGATGTTTCAGGCTGGACTCCCAGCGGTGGGGCCGTGAACTCGCCACGTGCTTTGGGCTGGCTCTCAGCCTTCCTGAGGCTGCAGTGCCCTCTCTCTACGATGGAGACACAGTGACAGGGTGGGGCCAGGCACAGGAACCCGTTTCCTCCGAGCACGGGACTCGTCCTAGCTGGGGAGGTCTTTTGTCTCCTGCCTGAGCGGATTTTGTTCTGTTGTTCGGCCTGGGCTTCAGCGGGGCTGTACCTCGCCCCTTTCCCAGCTCCCGTGGGAAGTGCTGGTTCCTGCAGGCAGCCTGGACCCTGTCAGCAAAGCAGAGAAGGGGCCCCCAAACCCAGCAGCACAGTGTGGGCGCCGGGTGGCTCGGAGCCACACGCTCAGGGAGAGGACAGAACCCAGGACTCACGTCACTTTCCCCGCCAAGCGAGGAAGTGGCATTTTCTCCCTGGTCCAAGCAGCATTTTCCTCTTCCTTTCTGCTGACAGCCACTTGACTCCTAGGGAGGGGAAATGTTTTGAGATGAAACACTTTTAAATAGGTGGCTGGGTGTGTGCTTGAAAGGTTGGCAACTTAAAAGAGGCTCCAGACGGTTTTAGTCACTTTTGCTGGTTTCTGTTGGAACAGAGATAATCAGAGGTCTTTCTTCTTTTGCTTTATTTTTTCAAAAACAAAATTATACATATAGAATATATAAAATGATATAAAATATATACAAAAATATAAAGTATAATATAACATATAATTTAAGACAATAGCATAGAATGTAGAGAAGCATAAAAGACAAACTGTCATGACCCTGGGCCACTGATAATATTTGGACATAATATATATTTGTACTATGCTTATAGTGCAATATAGTTTTATTTTGCCTTTTTGTCTATTTGCTTTTGTTTTGTTCATTTATCTGCCTATTTTTAATTTATATTGTGAGTCTTTTTCCACATCATTAAAATCTCTTTAAAATATAACTTTGCTGATTGCATAAAGTCCATCTTCCGGTTATTTCAGAACATATTTGTAAAACTTGCTATTGACATATTGTTAGGTTTTCCCCTACACTTTATAACTATAAATAACATTATAATGAACATTTCCGTTCACTATGTGTACGGTTTTGTGGACCTCGCCGAAGTTTTTCTTAGGTGAATTCCTAGCGGTAGAATTAACTGAGAAGATACTTCTTAGGGGAATGACAGTTTATCCATTCTCTAGCATATGTGACATCCACAACACTGAATGCTATCAGTCATATAAGGACCTTAAAAAAAGAAAGAGAAAAAGAAAAGAAAAAGGAAAATTGAGAGAAAAAAAAGAAAATCCCCGACCTTTGGGATCTGCTCGCGGTTGACGGGGACTGACCGGACAATCAGGATTTTAAAGCAGGCGTCAGTTGCCAGCTTTTTCATTTCTCGATTCCCCCACACTTACCTCTTGTATCTTGTTCCTCAAGTTATTTCGCCTAATAAAATACTTTCTTCCAGACACCCCACTTCTCTGTCTCTGCCCAGATCTTAATTCTGCCCGAGAAGCAAAACCGGCTGGGCCCAGCAAGCAGCGCTTGCTCCCTTCCTGGAAGGTCTGAGAGCTTCCAGGATGGGCCCTGAGTCAGTGACAACAGAAAAGAGCAAGTCTTCTCTGGGCCTGGTGGATATGAGCCTTGGGGGTTCCCACCGGGCTAGCTCCTTGACCAGTAAGGAACTGGGGACTGCTGGCTGGAAGCTGGGTCTCCCACCACACTTTTGCCTTTATCCCCAGAGTCTGTGCCTAGAAAGCTGGTGACATCCACATTCCAGATGGAGAGAGGATTCCTTTGACTTCCTTTATTTATATTTCACAAGTGCTTTTCCATTTACGCCAGCAATTTCATGGGTTTATCAGCTGAATGTTTTGTTTCTCAGCTCGGTACCTTTGGCTCCCCCGTGTGGCATTTGGCTCCCCCGTGTGGCAGCGGGAGTCTGGGACACGCCTGCACCGGCCTGGCTCTGGGGAGCAGGACACTCCTGCTGGTCCATTTCCAGGTCTACCTCCACTATTTGTGGAGCTGGGGCAAGAGTACAGATGGAGCCCCTCTGCTGCCCTTCTCTTCCCCCCCAGCTCTCTTTTGGGCTGAGAGGGGTCTCAAACACCATGTGAGCACCCCAGCCTGCATGTCTCAGCTCTTCCGTTGCCTCCAAAACAGCCAGTTGTTGTGCACCCTTTGACCTAGGGGTGGACATACTGGCTGTTACGATCCGCCCTAGGAAGATGGGCTCGGGAAGACCATACCTGGAGCGCTGTCTAGAAAAGAGATGAGGGCTCCAGGTGAACAAGTCACCTTGGCCCCATGGCCTTCTGAGAAAGGCTGGAGGAGGCCTTGTGAGGGGCCCTCTGAAGTGTGGGGCTCCCCTTGCTTGGGTCTGAGGGTGGTACTGCCCACATCCGTCCCGCCCTCAGATGAGCATGTGTGGTCTCCTGTGAAGGACTCTTCATGGCGTCAACAGCATCCTCAGCAACAGTAGGAACTGTTGAGTTCTTATTAAGCGCCAAGCAAGACTTTGCTACATGCTTTGCCCATGATTTCTCGTTTGCTCTTCACAGCAGCCCAGTGAGGTCTCCCCTCCTGTAGAGGAAACTCCCTGTGCTCTTATATCTGGGGTGAATTTTGGATTCCACTCTGCGTGTTCTTCCTTTGTATCAGCTCACACTTTCCCAACTGGTCTGGATTCTTGGAACAAACCTTGCTTCCCCAAAGCAAACTCTACCCTTTACTGTCTCCTTGGGTTTGCTGGAGCCCTAGTACCTGTCCTGTCCTGAAGCCTCGCTCAGTGAGTCATGGAAGACATCTGGGTGGCTGGTTAGATCCCCTGACTTCCCTGTGTGGTGGGACATCAGGGGTGGTGCCAGGTTCACCCCCTTCTCAATGAACAGCTCAAACTCCCGTGAGTCAGTTGGAGCTAACTCCCTTGGTCTCCCTTATAGTCTGTTTAGATGGCCTAAAACACTCAACTCCTGTCTTCCCAGCCTTGACCTGCTGTCACCGTCGTTCTTGCTCTTTAGGGTGTCTCCACAGTCACCTACTCACCGCACAGAAGGTCCTCCCACTCTCGAGAATTGGCCGATACCCAGTGCAGCGGCAAAGGTTGCCTAACCGGAGAAGAAGGATGGGTATCAGTGGGCTGTATTTTTACTGGTTTCTTTTGGAAGTTAAAACAGACGCAGGTGGTTTTGTCTTTTTTTTGAGAGTATTTAAATACCTGCCAGACCGTTCAGTGCTTTTTTCCTCTTCTTAGACTATTATCCTTCCTACCACCTCAACTCCAGTTTTATTCTGTCCTAAAGAAGATGACGGTCCATCTGGTGAGCTCACTTGCATCCATCGATTAATTTGTTCATTCATTCAACACATGTCTATTGACGGCACCTATATTTCAGACAGCGTGTAAGATACAGGGATCCTAAGACAGGAAACTCTAGGCCATTTCTCAGGCCCCAGAGGAGCGAAGGATCTGCCTTGGACTACTTGTTAGAAGTGCTCCTCAGTGGCTTTTGGGTCACTGCGTCAGAATTTCCTGCGGGTATTTGTTTAAAATGCAGATCGCTGGCCCTTCTCCAATTCTCCTGAATCAAAACCTCCAGGGGTGGGCCCAGGAATCTTTGTTTAAGAAGTGTGCAGGTAATCCCACTGCAGGGCAGTTTGAGAAGCTTAGGTTTCCAAGGACGAAGGTGTGGGGGTGGGGTGGAGCAGGCTCTGTGTGGAGTAGAGTTCGTCCAAGGAGGCCTCACAAGGAAGCCAGGGCTTGAAGGATGAGCAAGCACTGGGTGGGTGGAAAGCAGGGGAGAGCGTTCGGGGTTCACAGAGCAGCACAAGCAAGGCGCAGATGTGGAACAGTGCAGAGGAATCGCGGGTCGAGAGGAGACTGGCCAGCAGGACGTCTGTTGGACTTCCCTGACTGCCTCGTGAAGTAGGGGAGGCTTGGCCACACTCGAGGGGCGAGGAGCTGTTGGAGGACCTCACAGAGTGGAAGGCCCTAAGGAGGGGAAGATTTCGATGACTTGATCTGATTTTCTGTAATGGAGAGGAGTGGAGGAAATCCACCAGCAACTGGCAGATTCAGAGAGTGTGTCTGTGCTCAGCCTCCAGTCCTCAGTCTAAGAATCTGTGTATCCAACAGGTGACTGGTTTAGGGATTGTTGACGCCTGAAAATGATGTCTATTGATCCTGCAAAGGGGATATGTCTGTGAACTCCCTGTTAGTAACTTAAATCAAGAGAACTGAAGAAGGACCGGGGGTCTGCATTTAAACAAATACCCTGTTAAGTTACTAAAGACCCCACGCGGTAGTAACCCATTGCAAATTTTAAAGGATCCTTTCAATATGTGGAGGGCTCTGTTATGGGTTAAACCGTGTCCCCCCAAAAGACTTGTTGAGGTCCTAACCTGTGTCTCCTGTGAATGTGACCTCATCTGGAAATAGGGTCTCTGCAGATGTACTCAAGTTAAACTGAGGTCATACTGGATTGGGTGCGCCCTAATCCGGTGACTGGAGTCCTTAGAAGAGGAGGGAAATTTGGACTCAGACACACAGAGGGGAGGCCGTGAGAAGATGGAGGCAGAGACGGGAGTGATGAATCCACGAGTCAAGGAATGCCAGGAGAGTTGTCAACCCCCAGAACTCGAAAGAGGCAAGGGAGACTCCTCCTCCAGAGCCTTCTGCAGGAGCACGGCCCTGCTGACACCTTGATTTCAGACTTGTCGCCTCCAGAACCGTGAAAGAAGAAATTCCTGTTGTTTTGACCCACCCAGTTTGTGGTGCTTTGTTACAACAGCTCTAACGAAGGCAGCCAAATAAGTCACTGTGCAGAGACGTGGAGTGTCAAGACGGGGGTATGGTCCACGTGCAGTGGGTTCTCTCCAGCAAGTGCTCTGATAAGCAGGGCATAGCCTGACATTCTTCCCTGCTCCTGGGTGAACTGTGGCTACTTCAGAAACAACTGAGGGAGGGCCTGAGCTGGGTTGGGATGATGTGGGCTGGGGGAGCCTGAGGCACACTTCCCACCTGGCCTCAGGTGGGTGGAGGGGTTTCCCCATGTCAGACCTACCTCCCAGGGCTTCCATGAGCTGCTCCTCAGAGGGCTGTGGGTGGTTCCTGAGCAGCGTGTACATGGACATCACCATCCCAGGGGTGCAGAACCCGCACTGGGTGCCGTGGCTCTTGGCAATCCTCTCCTGGAAGAACATGTGGTCACAGGGCCTGCCTGCCTGCTGCCTCCGCCTCTCAGGGGGGAGGGTCTGTGTGCTGCGTCTCCCTTGTCATGGGGGAGCCCAGGCCCTGAGAAGCCCTCCTCCCATTGCTCAGAGATGGCCAGTGCCCCCTTTCCCACGCTGCTCCTGGAGCAGGTGACTCAGAAGCCCTGTTCTAGCGTTACAATCGCTTCTCAAGCTCAAATGCCCAGTTCCTTCTAATGGGGAATTAGCAGCGTGCAGCCTTGATTCCCAGAGTGGGAAGAAGTCTCCAAAAATCATCAGTAAAAGGAAATTATGAGTAGGTTTCAGAAACAGCTTTCTGGAACACCTCCATGTCTTAGTTCTGCCCGTGGGGCCGCCTCTTTTTGATGAGCTTGGAGACTATCTCCTGTTGACCTCACTTCACTTTCTTCTTTAAATTCTTTTGTGTTAGCTCAGAAGGAGCTCTCCTTTCAAAGGTCCAAGATTGTGGTCTGTGTCCTAGATCCTTGCTATTTAAAGTGCAGCCCCGGGACCAGCGGTGTTGGTTCCACCAGGAGCTCATAAGAAGGCAGAACCTCAGGCCTCTGCTCCAAACCTCCTGACTCAGAATCTGCGTTTGCAACAAGCTCCCTGCTGGGTCTCAGCGCTCTGAAGTTTGGGAGCCCTGCTCTAGATTCCGAATGTCATCCTAGGATTCGGGTTCATCAGCCTTGCTGTGAACGTCCTTTCTGATCTCCTCAGGGACTCTAGGAAAATTTCCTGCGTTCTTTGCCTTTGCTGACCTTCCTGGAATCGATTTTCACGTGGTTAAACCCAGAGACCCTTTGGGCTCCTCCTGCCTGGAAGGCCTTGCAGTGTTGGTGGATCTGGACCTATGACACTCCAAACCCTGTGACAGTGACAGAGAAATTCATGTGTTTTCTGCCAATGCAGGTCACAGTACTCTTAAAACCAGCCTCTCTTTTCCATCTTCAAGTTAAGATTTGGAGAAACAACTGTCCTTGTGCTCTGGCACAGTCACCCTCAATTCTGATTTTACTCCCAAGAACCCCATACCATAGGAGGTAACCCTGAATTTGATCCTGTTAGCCGCAGAGACATTTCATTCTATGCATAACATCCGTTGTACAATATTTGTCCCACAGCATAGTCCAATAGGTGTTAATTGATGTTTTTAAAGTCCTGCTTATCATTCAAGTAGAAAAAATAAGAAAAACGATGATCATCTAATAAAATGTGGAAGGATTTCCAGGCTTCTTTTAAACCACTTCACAGATATTATTATCATCTTGGTCAATATGCATCCAAAGCTTGTACTCACCTGACCCCACCCTGGCAGCCCCAGGCAGCACTGTGAGTGCAGCATTGGTCAAAAAGGTAAAGTCAAGAAGTGAGACGATGAGGACGTGCTCTCACCTGCACCGGGTGAAGCCTGGTTTTGATGCTTCCAACACCTTCCACGGTGGTGACAGCAGCTCCATACAGAGAGCAGATGGGCACCAGGCACGCAGTGACGGAGAAGTGTCTTTGTATGAGAAGTACAAGGAAAACCAAGAGGAGTGACACAGTTATGCCTCATGGGCAGCGGGAAACCCCCAGGCTTCTCATTCAGCCTAGGGAATGGGGAACTGGAGGGGCGTCAGAGAGGAAGAATTTAGAGTCCTCTCTGCTGACTGTATTATCTGCACGAATTGGGGATCCTTAGGGTGAGTAGGGGCATTCTGAACTTCAGAAAAATTTTCCAAGCCCAGAACAGACCCACCTGGGTCTGGACTCAATGAGAGTGGGCTCGGGTCATCAGGAGTGTGGTTAGACCTCAACCAGTGTTCATTAGGACACTGACCCCACAACAGGCCAAAGGCACACCTCTGTCTTCTACTCATATTGGAGAATTTTTTTGCTTGTTAATTTTAAACTCTCCATGTAAGGTCCCTCAACAGTGTTGGGTGGTCTGTGTTCTGAAGTCATTTCTTGGGCCAGTGGATTTGGGAACAGCCCAAGTCCTGGAATCTGGCCCTTAATTAAAGGATGGAGTCATGGCCCAGGTCCCTGCAGAGTCCAACAGTAGAAAAGGCATTCGCTTCAGAGCCAGAAAACGTGGGGTCAAGTCCTTATTCTACAGCTTGCTAGTCGTATGACCTTGAACAAGTCATTTCGTCTCTGATCCTCAGTCTCCTCATCGGTAAAATGAATGCTTTGCGTACATTGGGGTTTGTTAACCTGGGCCTTGGGAGGTCCATGATCGCCCTGAAACTGTGTGTTTTCTGAGTAGAGGGCTCCCAGCTTTTCTCAGGTTTTCAGAGGGGTCTAAGATCTATAGAGAGCGAAAATTGCAAGACTGGAAGATCCTTAGAGATCTTTGGCTGTGAGGTGAGAATACAAGGCTGGCAAAGAAGCAAAGCCTCCTCCGGCCTCTGGGCAGGATACCTTATCTTCCTGGACACGGGGTCGTGCTTCGACACCATCACGGTGCAGGCCCCACAGCCTCCTCTTCCGCAGACATACTTGGTTCCCGTGAGGCGTACTGGAAAGGGGTGGTCAAGGAAAAGATTCCAGGGCGGACATGTTGCCTCCATGATAGCGGCCTCCCCAGGGTGTCTCTAGCCAGGAAGGTCTTCTTTGTGGGGTGAGGTGCAGGTCTGAGGAATCAGTCGCCTGCCTGCCTCCAGGTGTCAGTAAAGGCCACTCCATATCTTATTAGCTGTGTGACACTCGACATATTAACCTCTCCCTGCCTGCTTTCTCGCTTGCAAAGAGGGGAAAGTAATACCTACTTGATCTTCACAGGTTTATCATAAGCATCTTGGAGGGTAATGGATGAAAAAGCCCTTTGGAAAAATCCTATTTCCATCGCAGGTGTTCTTCCGGGTTCCAATCATATGATCGGAAGACAACTGCTTTCTAGCGGTGTTACTAGTTTTGCCCAGCAGCTGGTATTGCATTTGAGAGCAAGCGAGTGAGCCTTTGGAGAAAGCGCATGCTTATCACGGCCCACCCTGAGCGCCCCTCGGCTCCACCTCCTAAGGGCAATCGTCCAGGTCCAACCCCAAATCTAGTTTCAGCCTCCACCCCTTTTCTTTAGTCATCCTTCTCCCTGACTGTGGTCGATTTCCACACAGTTTATGGACTGGATGTAGTTCACTAGAATTGCTAAGAAGACTTCGGAATCACTGACTTTTTTTTTTCTTTTTTGAAAGCCATGGGGCTTGTTCATCTAAATTAAGCCATAACTCAAATGCTTCTCAGAGAGGGTATGTCAGTGAGTGGAGTGGGCTGGGTGTAACTGGGAGCTCACGCCCCACTTTAGACAGAGGACTAGGGACAGTCCCTGCTCAGCCCTAGGCAGGTCCACTGTAACGCAGGAATGACTATCTTCTCATTTTTCATGAGAAGCTGAAAAATCTTGATTTTTAAAAATATGAGATTTCCTTATTTTCAAATATCGACTACTAATTAAAAACCATGTGGGCTTTTAAACAAAACTTGCAGAGGGGCTGATTCCATCAATTTGTAATTTTTCTCATTAATTTGGTTCTTGTTGGCTTCTCTGGGAGAGCCATTAGATTCACCAATTACACTATGTTTGCTGTTACGATCTACCTTTCAGAGCGTAAAACGGTGGCAGACGACAGATGTAGGAAAGGCGATCTTCCCCTACGATCAGGCTCTCCCAGAGTCTGGAGAAGCTGGTTTCCCTGCAGGGCAGGCACAGGTGACACAAACCTTTGTTACCTAACCGCCTGCTGGGCATCCAGAAAGCCCTTACGGGAACAATTAGTGCTGACGTGAGGAGCTTAGCTTATATTTCACTGGTATTAAAGCAGGATATAAGGACCTCTGGGGAAATTTTATCCTCAACAAGTAGCCCAGTTAACTTAATACCCTTAAACCATTGCCAAAAGCAAACAGAGAGTGGCGGAGGGGCTGACCGTCTGGGGATGGGGAAGTCTGATCAGTTCTCATGGTCACAGCTGGCCTAAGTTTCAAGGAAAACATAGACACGGCCAAAACATGGTCAAAAGGGTCCAGTTCTTTCGTAGGAAGGTCAGCAGTGTGACTTCCGGGTCTGCGTTCCTCTCCAGCACCTGTGTTGGGAACAGAACAGAGGTGATTATGGGGATTAAATCAGTGACCGGTAGAATGTCTGCTGCGGCTTGATTTAGGGATTGGGGTGTAATATGAGGCCCGGTTTCACCTGCCCTGTTTTTTTGTGCTCTGAGGGCACACAACTTTCACACGCATTTTCAGAGCAGGAACTCACCCAGCAAGTGTGGCAACAACGGCCTTACGTGTTGTTAGAGCTGAGAACTGCAGCTGCGTAAAGACGCCCTGGGAGCCAAGTTGTTCATGTTTGCTCTTCTCTCTATTTTTGTGGAATCTTTCAACCCAGTCTTTTGTACTCTTAAAATATTCAAGCTGGGGAGGGACTGGGATGCTGTGTGTGTGCGTGCGCGTACGTGTGTGTGCATGTGCATGCACGAAATGAAGGGTCCTGGAGGGAAGAAAGATGGGTAAAAGGGCCACCCGGTGACGCAGAGGTTAAGTGTGCACGTCCTGCTTTGGCGGCCCGGGGTTCGCCGGTTCAGATCCCGGGTGTGGACATGGCACTGCTTGGCCAGCCATGCTGTGGTAGGCGTCCCACGGATAAAGTAGAGGAAGATGGGCATGGATGTGGGCTCAGGGCCAGTCTTCCTCAACAAAAAGAGGAGCATTGGCAGCAGATGTTAGCTCAGGGCTAATCTTCCTCAAAAAAAAGAAAAAGAAAGATGGATAGGAAGTGTTTCTATGCTGGCCCCTCTGATTCACCTCTGGTGGAGAGTACATTTGATGACATCAGGGATCTGAAGAGGTGGTGGCAGAGAGGGGGGTGGGGAGAATTGCCGTCACCCTGGAGAGGCCCCAGAGTGTTCCAATCCCCTCCCTGGCAGAGTGGCTGATGGTGAGCCTTGTTGCCCCAGCTCAGGACCCAGGATGCTCTGGCAGAGCACTAACGTTCCTCCCTCCCTTATCTTGAAAAGTTGGGGATTTAGCGTTCAAAAGCCGTGGAGGGACCTTCCTTGATGCTTCTTTCTCATCTGCTTATTTTGGGATATTTCCTTTGGCTTTGTTCTGGGATGTCCTGCAAACACCTCCCTCCATTCTGTTGCATCAGAGGAAAGGAAGATACAGTGGCCTATTCACGTTAATTCTTCCTTTCTCCCCAGAAGAAAAATGTGAACTTGTGTAGACCTCAAAGAATGAAAAAGTACGGAGGGAGATGCTTCCAAGTTGAGATGTTAAAATTCAACTGCTTTCTGAATCTCCAGGGGGCTCCGATCAGCGAAAGAAGCCCTCCTCCGCCTGCCCTTCCCCCCACCACAGATCTTCAAAAGCTGTTTATTGAGAACGTGGTTGGATATTTTTATTATCTACCTGACACCACCCCGACCGCACACATCTGTGTTTCCTCTAACCCTTGATTTATGCCCTGTTCTGGCTGCAGCCACCTCACTCTGGGACTGCATGACTCAGGAGGGATGTGGAACAGAAAATAGAGGAAGGGACCCCCAAAGCTGAGGCCAGTGGGACAAACAAGGGCCCCAGCTCATGAGCGACAGTTTTGGAAGAATGTGTGCTGGTTGTTGGCCGTGGACACTGGCTGCAAGAGAGAGATTAGAAGGGGGTGGATGACAGCTTAGAGGCTCTACATTCTGTCTCCTTTCTTGGGCCGAGCCCTGGGGCGGGGGTGGGGCCCGGGGGGGACATGACAAGATCTCAGTTAGGTTTGCAGGATTGGAGGGCTGAGGGCCCTGGAGGAGAGGCCACCTGCTTTGGGAGCTGCAGAATGGTTCCTTTGAGAGACAGACAGACTCACAAGAGCGGTGGGCCTGGCAGAGGGCACTGAGGGCTCACTAGTGGCCTGCGTGCACTGATGGTGAGGACCGGAGGGAGAGTGCTGGGACCAGGGGCAATAGAAGAACATCTTGTTATCCATGTTCCCCCTGGAACTTAGCTGCAACCCAGGCAAGAGGGGGACAGAAAGTGGGCTGCAATTACCTTTCAACCAATTCTGTGTAATGGAGGCTCAGAAAATAAAGTTGATGAATAGAAAAAGAAAGAAAGCTGCATTTCTTCTCCTCCTGGGTTTGAGGATCAAGGTGTTACTAGACGAAGTGCTTCCCATGCGTGAGAGCCAGGGCTCAATACCTTACAAGCCCTTAGGGGTTCCTAACCAACGAGGGAAGCGTCTCTCTTTTAATCTTTACAAAAGCTGCAGGAGGTGGGCTCTAAAGAGGGAGCTCTGAGACTCCGGGGGTTGAAGTAACTTGCATAAGGTTATACGTGAATGCACAGTCTGCCCGCAGGCTCGTGCGGGTAACCCTGGAGCTTTACCGCCTCCCGCCCGCACCCCCAAGGCTGAGCTCCGACCGAGGGGGAACAGGCCAAATGTGTAGGGTTCCAGTCCCTGGCTCCTTGTCCTGACTGGAGGGGGCTCCACCCAAATGGGCCACAAGGGCTCCCCCGGAGCTAGTGGGCTCCTGCTGTCTCTGCCAGCCAGGGTGTCACCCAGCACTTACCTTCCTCCCGTTCACGAAGAAAACCAACTCGTCGGATCTCGACAGGTGGGGCATTGCACCCTGTAAGAAGCTTCGCCTCACGCTCCAGGGCGGAAGGCTCCTGGGCACCAGCCCCAGAAACGAGCGGGCAGGATTTGGGTCCAGGCAACTGAGAGCCCTCCCTGAGTGAAGCCGGCTGCCTGGAGCCCCTGAGAGCAGGGCAGCGGGTGGAGACTTCCTTGCCTCCCGGCCTTTTAAGTCCAGGCTAACCCGCGTGGCCCAGCCTCTCACCCCGGGCCTCACTCCGCCTCCCACCAATCCCGCTCCAGAGCTTGCTGCACACAGCCCACACCTCTTCTGGCTTTTCCTGAGGTTGGCGGGCTTCAGTGTGAAGACCACAAACAACGTAAGCCCACTCTGCACAATGACTCAGCCCCGGGAATACATCCCGCATGGATTTCATTCGTTTCCAAAAGAGCTACAAGTGGGCTTTCTGAGGCCTCCCACTTCTCCAACATTTCTTACTTCAGCTGCAGAAATGTCTCCTCGCTGGAAATCATATGGACAAGACCAGCTTGTGTCCCAGTTAAAGTGGAGGCGGGGCGTCACATCCACCCAGCCGCTCTGTATCCTTCCTACTTCCTCCCACTGACAGGATGCTTCCACTGGAAAATAGTGATCTAGTCAAGGCAACCACTTTACAGATAAGTAAAGTGAGGCCCGTGATCTCAGTGGCTCAGGTCGTGCAGGAAGTAAATGGCAAAGCAGGAACTAAAACCAAGATCTCCTGGCTTACGACATCAGTAAGTGCACAGACAGAGACTTGCTAAAAGGAAAATACCCTTGTGGGTCTCTCTGAACATGTCCTGTTAGACATCGGTGGATAAGCCAAGCAGTTCTTACTCCTTCTGCTAAAGGCATGAAGACTTTTAGAGCCCGGGACTGGCCTCTCTGCGGTGAAGCAGGTAGCTGCTCGGGTCTGGTTTCAGGGGAGGAAGCCAGACTTCCTGTTCCGGACACTTCCTTCCCGCGGGTGTGGGGCCGGCACACGGCCGAGAGTCAGCCTTTGTGTTAAGGTGAATCACCGTGTGACAGTGCCTCAGGCGGAGACAGCAGAGACCTGGCATCCTCTCGGCATGGCCAACGGAGGAACGTCCTCTTTCCCACTCGGTCCAGATGCGGCTGCAGAATCCCGCCCCCACGAGCTGTTCCAGAAAACCCTCCTCATGCCACGCTGTCGGCAGCCTCCAACTCTCTTTACAGTTCTGATGCCTGGGTCCCAAGCACACTCGTCCTCACACACCTGGGGAGCTAGCGTTCACACACCTGTCTAGTGTTGGGGGTGTGTGGGTGCTTCCCGTGTATTAAAAGGTGCTGAATAAACCTGCCGCAGGGCCACGAGAGGAGAGCGGGAGATGGTGCTGAGAATTGGGTGGGACCTTCGTGCCAGCCTTTTGGATCCTGCCACTCCTGCTAAGAATACCCCCAACAGCTCTCTGAGGTGGGAACACAAGGTTCCTTAGCTCCGTGTGCAAAGCCCTCCGCAGCCTGGGTTTCTGGCCTCAGACTCTCTTGCTCTCCAAAAAAACCTCCTGTTCTGGTCAAACTACTCTTCTCGTCCTCGCTCTTGTGTGTAAACCGGCCCTTCCCTACTTGAAGCCTTCCATCGGCCTCCCACCCACTGACCAAAGCCCCGTAGGCTTTCCTCCGAGGCCTCGGGGGCTCGACCCGCCCGCCCCTCTGGGCACATGTCAGCCACTTTCTCCCTGGGTCACAGCCCCTGACATGCTGGCCTCTCCCCTGCTTTGCGCGCGTGCTGAACTCTCTCCTGTCCGCGGCCCTGGGCCATGTTATCCCCTCTGCTTGACTTCTCTTCTCTGACTTGGGCGTGGCTGGGGCCTTCTTGTTATTGGGGGCTGACGCTTCCCTGATCACAGGCTGAACGGCACGTCCCTCTCTGCTGCCACCTCCTTCCCTGTCCCCAAAGCTCTCGCTACTGCCCGACGAGGACACTGGCTCACCTCTTGGTTAGCTTTCTCCACTAGAATACAAGCTCCACGAGGGTGGGCATGTTACTTTCAACTTGCTGCTGTGTCCCCAGCCCTGGACCGATGCTTACCACCCAGTCAGTGCCCAGGAGTATTTGCTGAATGACTGAAGGAGGCTCTTCCATGTCTGCATTGATAACAACCCCATTTCTGTCCCACTGTGACTGCCCTCCCTCCCTCTTTATCTGCCATCGAAAAGCAGCATCAAACCTCTCTTCTTTTTTTTTTTAAAGATGTGAACCTTTTTTAAAAGTATGCTTTTTTCTTTTTTGGTGAGGAAGATTGGCCCTGAGCTAAGATCTGTTGCCAATCTTCCTCTTTTTTTTTCCCCCAAAGCCTCAGTACATAGTTGTATATCCCACTTGTAGGTCATTCTAGTTCTTCTATGTGGGATGCTGCCACAGCGTGGCTTGATGATCAGTGCCATGTCTGCACCCAGGATCTGAACTGGTGAACCCCGGGCAGCCGAAGTGGAACGTGCAAACTTAACCACTCGGCCACGGGGCCAGCCCCCCAAACCTCCTTTCCTTCCTTTCTCTCAATTCCAAAAACACTTGCCGATCCAACCAACTGCTCCTTTACTTTTCATTTAATAAACCAGGAAACAGGTAGCTAGTCTCTCATGTGCCACGAATAGTTGGTTGTCTTGTCAGCATCTGTGTCCCATTTTCCCAATTAGGTCTTAAGCCTCTAGAGGTTAGAATAGCTACTTGTGTCCCCCGCAACGCTCCGCGTGAATGACAGTTTGTTCACTGAGGGTTACTAAATGCTTGCCTGATTACCTAAAATACTTTACACGAGGAGGCATTAGGGATTCATTCATCCAACCAGTAGTTATTGAGGCCCAGCCTGCACCGGGCACCGTGTAAAACCAGATCTGCAAGGTTTCTTTCTCCAAGGAGTCTGTGGTTAGTACAAGAGACAGTTACTGTGCGCTTACATCTTTGCCTTGGTGAGAAGCACGGAATGGAGGGAAGCTTTGCTTCGGGGAGAGGCATCAGGGAGGGCCTGCGGAGGGACATCAGGCTGCAAGGGGGGCCGTGGGAACGGGGGGAGGCAGGCAGGGAGGGTAAGCGGCAGGTGGAGAAGAGGCCCTGCTGACGGCTGTGGCCGCGTGGGGGAGACGCGCCTGGGGCAGTGGTGAAGGGGCACAGTCTGTTCACCCTCTTGCTCTGCCCTTTAAAAGAGGGCCATCAGCGCAGACGAGGGCACACGATTCCACCTACGGCAGCCCGGACGCTGCCAACAAACAGCAGGAATCCTGGTGTTCCAAAATATTCATAGGCATAGACCCTTCGGCGTCAACAGAGAATACGAACATCGAACACAGAAGAACAAGTCCAGGGTGCCAACACCAGATTACAGTGTTAGAGTTGGAAGATAGAGGACTTCAGTTTAGGAAACCAAATACATTTACTGCTGGGAAACTGAAACCTGACCTTGAACGGCCTTAGAGGAGTGTGTCACAAACTTGTTTGGCTGGGCAGCTTTGTTTGTGTGAAATCGTGTGAAGTGTAAACACGGGGAACAAAAAGCTTCCTGCCTGGCCCCGAGGAGGGCTGAGGGTGAGGCCTGAGCTTGGTTTTCTCTTCTTCACAAACCGCCAGGGCTCTGGGACTTCAGCGAAACATCGCCAGCTCGGGCTGAACAGAGGTGGCCCAGTGCGAGGGTAGGACGCTTCCCGCCGAGCTTTCCCGACTCTCGGGTCTTATTCCAGAAAATGAGAAAAGCAACCACTTCTTTTTCCTGCCCTCTTTTTTCTTTACTTGAAAGGGAAGACTAACTTTCTTCACATTTAAATGGATTGTCCTTGTGGGTGAAAGAAACTCTACATGCATTGACCCAGGCGCTTGTGTGTTTGTTATAAAAAAGGTCTTATAAGTCACGTCGAAGAATCCTTGTTACCAAAGAAAAACTCACATTGGAAATGACACTGGCCTCCCCCACAATGCAAACACCCTTGTTTCTGGAAAAAGTCGTACTGAGCCCTGCTCACGGCTGTCAGTGGAAAAGTCCTGGACTCTGCTTCTGCGGCCCTGGGTGCTGCCGTCCATTTTGAGCTCTTCGCAGCCCAAAGGTGGGACACAGGCAAGCAGATGGTGAGCCCTTTTTAGGCCCCTTGCGCTGGTCATTCAATGCCCAGGTTCCAGCCTCCATTCTCTCCCTTTCTGACTAGGAGGTCCCTTCCCTTCCCCTCCCAGTTCTGCTCTTTGCTGAGCCAGGCATCTGCTGGGCTTAAGGGAAGCCAGGAGCCAGTGAGGCCTCGGACTATGTGGGAGAAAGTCTCTCCCGCCACAGACTGGCGGAGTGCCTAGAAATCCGCACCCTGAAAAATGTGACTCTGGAGGACAGGTTGGTCCTTTGGGGTGGGGGGGCGTGGAGCGTGGAGAGAAAGTTTGACATCCGTGTGAACAGGAGGTCAGGAGTGCCAAGCGGGTGGGCTGAGTCCTTCCTGCTCTGGGTCTGGGAGGGTCTGAGCAGTCAGGAGCCCCACGGCTGCCAGGCTCCCTCCAGGTTCTTCACCAAGCACTGTCAGCCTTCCTTCCGCTACCTGCCGGCCCGTGGGGGTGGGGCAGCGTCGCTGTGCCTTCGGGAGCCTGTGGCTGCCTCCTTGAGCTGCTGTGGCTTGCACTGTGTTCCCTGATGTGACCTTATCTGGAAATCAGATCTTTGCAGATGTAATCAAATTAAGACAGGTCACACTGGATTAGGGTGGGCCCTACAGCCAGTGACGGGTGTCCTTTTAAGGACAGGGAGATTTGGGGACTGAAAGGAACACATGGAGGGAAGACAGCCGTGTGAAGACGGAGGCCGAGATTGGAGTGATCTGTCTACACTGAGGAATGCCCAGGATTGCTGGCCACTACCACAAGCTAGAGAGAGGCAAGGGAGACTTCTTGCCTAGAGCCGTCAGAGGAAGCATGGCCCGTCCACACTTCGATGCCAGCCCCCTAGCCTTCAGAACCGTGAGGGAATAAGAGTCTGTTGTTTTAGGGCAGCAGGGCCCGGTACTCGGTGAGGGCAGCCCGGTGAACGCTCGAACAACCCAAGCGTTAGAGAGACGGCCATTCCAAATAGACAGAGCACACACTCAGCGAGAGAGAGCTGTTGGAGGGGACGACCGTCAATTCGAACTGAAAGAGGACAGTAAAGGGCAGCCCTCAGCGAGGCTGCGCCTTCCATCACAGGCCCAGAGCGCAGGGACCTGGGGGCAGAGCAATTCCAACGCAGGCGCCACTGCCACCCTGCCCCGCCGCCCACCGCGGCTCAGCCCCACGGACAGAACAGCTGGACAGAATATCTCATAGGTACAAGGCTGAAAGATCAAGTTTTCTATGAAGGAAACAGAACCAGCCTGGCGTCTGAGCGCCTGGCTGCCGCAGCGGACGCTAGAGGGCAGGAGACCAGCAGCTGCAGGTTTCTGAGAGGCGGGACGGGCCGCGGGGAGCTGTCAGTGGAGCAAAACCCCCTCTTCCTGCCAGGGCAAGGACCAGACAGCAGAGGGGGAGAATCCAACAAGAACAACGTCCACAAGAAGGGCGAGGAGGAGGGGAGGCCTCAGTGGACAGGGGCGGGCTATTTGGAAAGTGTAACATAAATGCTAAAAAGAGCCATTCTGTAAGGGAAATTCAACTCATATTCTAGACCTGAAATAGACAGCAGCCTCAGCAACTGACGGGCTGAAGGCTGCTGGGGAGAAGGGGAAAGCAGAAGAGTCCCTAAAGTATTGTTTCATCGGGGCAAAGGGCGGAAATATGGGCAGAGAGAGAGCAGGAGGCCAGGAGAGGGCCCCTTTTCATGGGGAGACATTTGGTATCTTGTTTTCAAATAGTGGTACAGAAATATGTGTCTGTTTATTAAAGCAGGTAAATGGAAATGTGCAACTACTGGTACAGTAGAACTTCCAAAGTAGCAAGAGAAGGAAGGGACTTTCTCATCACTTGCACAAATCAGCAAAAATAATGAAAAGGAAAAATGGAAAGCACAGGTTAAAATATATCACATTTTGTATTACATATTATACATGGTATAATTTATATTTTCTGTTATATATTATATGTATAAATAACTAGAAAATATTAAACATTTTAAATAATCGTAAGAAATATAAATGAAATGAATTCTATGACTTAGAAATAATGACTAGCATGGGCCGGCCAGGTGGCACAGTGGTTAAGTGCGCACGTTCCACTTCAGTGGCCTGGGGTTTGCAAGTTTGGATCCCGGGTGCAGACGCAGCACCGCTTGGCAAACCATGCTGTGCAGCCATCCCACATATAAAGTAGAGGAAGATGGGCACGGATGTGGTAGTTGCCTGCTCAGGGTCAGTCTTCCTCAGCAAAAAGAGGAGGATTGGCAGCAGTTAGCTCAGGGCTAATTTTCCTAAAAAGAAAAAAATTGAAAAAAAAAGAAAAGACTAGCAGATTGGATTAGGAAAAAACCCTAGAATCTAGATATACACCATTTATAAGAAACGTATTTAAAGTGATAAAGAGGGGATGAAAATAAAGAGGGGTCAACAAGATAACAGGCAAATGTAAACAATAAGACAACTTACTATGGAAAGAATAGAAAATATTAAAATTATCATAGAACAAATGAATTTACAGATGAATTTCCTGTGCTCACCGAGATAATGCCAATGTTAGTTCAACTCTCCTAGGCGTAAACAAGTGGAAATTCTCTCCAATTACTCTTATAAACTTAGTGAAATCTTAAGGCCAAAACCCAATACGGACAGTACAAAAATACTGTAGAACCACTCTGCTTCTGAATACAGACATAGCGACGACTCCTTATCCACGGGGATACTTCCCAAGACCCCCAGTGGATGCCTGAAACCATGGGTAGTACTGAACCCTGTAGATGCTGTGTTTTTTCCTATACATACATATTTGAGGTTCCACAGCAAAACTAGCATGAATTTCTTTTTCCTTCTTCACAGTTTCACGGATAGAAGGTTCATTCTTGCCCTGGATCTTAGTAACCTCACCATACATTTGTTTCCTTTTTTTAATAAGTTGAGAACTTTCACCTTTTCTCTTAAAGGAAGCACTTTATGGCTTCTCTTTGGCATATCCGAATTGCCGGCATCACGGCTCTTGTGCTTTGGGGTCCTTATTAACTAAAATATGTTCCTTGAACACAGGCACTGAGCTACCATGACAGTCGATCTGATAACCAAGATGGCTGCTAAGTGACTAACGGGCAGGTGGTGTACACAGTGGATCCGTTGAACAAAGGGATGATTCACGTCCCAGGAGGGACAGAGCAGGATGGTGGGAGATTTCATCATGCTACTCAGAGCAGCGTGCAATTTAAAACTTATGAATTGTTTATTTCTGGAATTTTCCATTTAATATTTTCAGATCATGATTGACAGCAGGTAATTGAAACCGTGCACAAAGGGGAGATTACTGTACAAAAATTCTAAATAAAATACCAGTGAATAGAATCTGGCAATGTATCAAGGGATAATATACCAAGTAAGCTTTATTTCTGGGACACAAGTGGGTTCAACATCAGAAATCTAGCACATTATTAATACTAACAGCCCATTACATCAAAATAAAGGAGGAAAACTAATCAAATCAAAGATGCTATTAAGTCACTTGATAAAATTCAGCAGCCACTCCTAGCAAAACTTTAAAGCAAAGAGAACAGGAGGAAACTGATGAAATAAGAATATTTACAAAAACCAATAACTACTATTATTGTTACAGGAAAAATAAAAAACAATTTCAATTAAAATCAGAGATTAGATATGGCCGCCCTTTCTTACCATTACTGGGTCACTTTACCTCAGAGGTTATGACGCATGTAGTAAAATAATGGGAGAGTGAAATAACTGGGGTAAATTGATGTCAACGTTGGAAGAGAAGAAAACAATCTAGTAATTGGATGTAGTCAACGGTTTTTGTTACTATGCAAATACACACTTAAAAATGGAAGTGGAAAAATATTCCATTCACAGTAGCTCCAAGAATACTCAAGAATAAATTTAACCCCCCAAATTTAAGAAGTATAGGATCTAGGCAAGAAACGAAATTTACACACAGAGGAAGACATATAACGTTCTTAGATGAAAAGTCAATTCTCTTAAAATTAACATATAAATTTAATACAATTCTACTTAGAATCATACCTAGGTTTTTAGAGGAAATTGGATAAAGCGATTTTTGTTTTGAATGAGACCAAATAGCTAAGAGGAATGTGAAAAAGAGCAGTGAGGGAGCACTTGCCATGGCGCCTATGTTAACATGATATTGGTGCAAAGATAAAACAACTAGGTCAGGGGAACTGATGAAAGAATCTAGAAATAGATCCCAGTATCTATGTGAATTAATGAAGGACAAAGTGAGACTCTCATAATCTATTCCCTACCAAGTGAATTAAATGATTGACATGAGGACTAAAGTCCTTTGACTATAACTTTTGGAAAATGTTAGATATTAAGTATCTATTAACATTATAATTAACACGGGCATTTCCATCACTTTTGGGGCTAAATTTATGTTTTCTTTAATGCTTATTACAGACATGCCTTCTGTCAACCGAGGGCTCAGAATTGTAAAGCTCTGCAGAGCCATATTTTCTGGAACACTTCTACAGGGTCACTTATTTACACAGAGCAAATCAATTTTGTGGATCTATCAAGTATCAATTCCAGATAATGAAACTGAGTTAAGAGGCTTTTCTCTGAGGTTTTTGTCATTAATAACAGCATCTGGCACACAGTGTGCTGATCATGAATTTAATCGAGTGCACTGGAATAAGTATGGAAAGCACTTGGCAAACAGATAATGTTGAATTTCTGGAGCAAGTACAGACTTGTTACATACATATGTAAGTTGTGTATTTCTTTGAATGTAAAATTATTCTTCCCTAGAAAGGTGATTCATCCAGTGTATAACTAAATGTGATTTACTGCTTATAGTTATGTAAGATTTGCATATTAATAAACTCACAAGTCAGGAAGAATCACCTTGGTAGATCTGTGTGGCAGACATGGAGGTGAGGTGCCCAGATCCCCTTTCAAGAAAGGGCGTGCCGCCCAGCTTCAGGAGTGTGGTCAGCACGTGGTCCCCAGCTGCCAGCTCCTTTGGGGTCTGCCTTGGGGCAGAAAGCCTCCTTTCCCTCAAGGTCACGCCCTTCCTGGAGCAGCCCCATTGGTGACAGTGATATGGGGAACACACACCCTACATTCCAGCCTGGGTGGGACAACTCGGTGGGGCGATGCTCGCTCCAGGGCCCCCGCTGGCTTCCTGATGCTTCAAGGGCCTGTGTCGCAGTTGGACTTCTCCCTCTGCCCAATCCTGCTTCCTCACCCTTCCCTTCTCAGGTCTCGATCCCCAAGAAACATCCTGCTCCCCAAACTCTGTCTCAGCATCTGCTCCCGGAAAACTCAACCTGTGATACTACGTGCGCTGGTAGTGTGAAGAATACGGCCAATTTATATCATTGAAAATATCAAGTGCAGAGGATTTGAAGATTTTTCCTTAAAAGAAACGACGCTGATTTCCCAGCCCTCCTGTCCCAACCCTCTTTTTACCTCTCCCATTTCTAAAGCCTGAGAGCGTGCCACTGTCTGCAGGTTCAAGATACTGAAGGGAAATCAAGTCCCTCCCTGCCACCACACACTCAGCTCAGGCCCTGCGCTCCTGCAGGGTGGCACAAACTGCTCCATCCTAAACTTTGGGTCCAGGAGAAGCAGGACATCCTCGGCCCCATGGGCACTTTGAGTTGAAAGGAGAAGAGCAGCCAAGTGTCGCTCCTGCCACCTGTTATTTCTCTTCTGACAAACTTGTACTGAGCCCATGATCGAGCAGCAGTAATGGTCAGTTTCTACGAGCGACAAGCATTAGCGGTTCTGCCCAGAGTTGATAAGGATCACAGGCTTTTGTCATTGAAAGGGCGCGTGACCATTTACTGAGTCCATCGGTTAAAAAGATTGTATCTTACACTTTTAGCACAACTATCGCTGTAATAACATTTAAAAGCAGACAGAAAATAACAGCTATTTGTCTAAATTAGTAATACAGATTAAGTTTGTAATATAATAGACACTGTAAATTGTCAACTTTTAAAGACATTAGAATATTAATCCTATGTTTGAAAGCTGCTATCCTTTAAAATGTACTATTTTTGTAAAAACTTCCTCCCCAACCTCAACTCTTCAGGTTAATTAAATACTACTGAAAAGATCAGACTTATTTTGTAAAAATTCAATTTCTGTGTTATCGGAGGCCTTGTCCACACGCTCTATAAAGTATAATGCTTCTAAAATTAATTTGTGTTTGTGATAAAGGTGTCTTCCTATTTTACTGTTAGAAAACTATACCAGCGACCCTATTTTTACTGATCTGTCTGGCACATTGAATTTTGTGGGTTGGGTTCCAGGCAATCTAGATTACTGGTAAACTCAAACAGACACTTAAAAACATATGTACACACACACACACTTTCTTAGGGTAAGAGACACAGCCTGGCGAGCATTTTCTTTGGAAAGAGGCCGTTCCCTTCGACCGCCAGCCTCCCCTTCCTCCAGTGTGCTCTCTCTCACGCACACAGTTGCTATACACTTGTTCCTCCCACCACGAAGTTACTGTTAATAAACGCGGGGCTTTGACATCCAGCACACAGATCCCCACAGATGACCGAGTTTGTTTATTTGTGTTTTCAAACCTCACAGCGGACCAGACATCTTCTCTGGCACAAGACTGCATTTCCTCAGGAAAATGCAGCGTAAAATAGCTAAGGATTAATTGACAAAGAACCCTGAGGGTTTCGTGCCCCTTTGATACGGCAAAGGGAAGGAGGTGCTGATTTCTCCTTTTAGACACGAAGCCAGAACTAGGGACTCCCGGGTGAGTGAGATCCTTTTACTCAGCGCAGTTTCCCAGGGAAGGAAGAGGCTGTGCCGCGTGCGTGGTGCTGAGCATTGCGGGGGGCTGCTGCCCAAGACCACGGGAGCCCGTTACGAGCACCTCTTCCAACTCCATGTTCAGAGACCTCACGGTGGAAGTGGCTGCCACCCCGGAAATTGGCCACGTTATAAATCACGGATTTTTCCAGGAGGGCAAGTTGTTACCAGCACCTCTAACGCTTTGGGGAGTCTAATCCTGAGAGTTTGGGGGGGTGCATGATTTTACTGACTTGTGAAAGAACAAAGCAAGAGGAGTTGTTCCAGTAACAAAAATTCCACCATGTTTTGAAATCATGACGATGTAGATCTTCAGATAATGCAAATGAAAAGAAGAACTTCTGATTCTAAACTTCTTTATATCTTTTGGTGAAATTTCACCTTTTGGTGAAAAATTGTATCCTAAAACATAATCATGCGGTGACTTAAACCACAGAGAATAGTTAAAAGATGATAAAATTATCCTTGACAATTGGGGACCAATCTGTATTTTGCTCAGGTTTGAAAATTTTAAGGTCAATAACGTATTCTTACATTTTCTAAGAAAACGTAGGATTAAGACACACGGATGGACCAAGGTGTAAATGTTGAAGGATCATCTCTGGGAATCTAAAAAAAGGTCAAAAGAAGCAAGATAGTTATTAATAAAACGTTGTATGACAAAAGTTGTAATTCAAAAGAAAAATTGTTTTTAAAACAAGAACAACTCGATGTCCATTTAATTCTTACCAAAATTATGTAATTTTCATATTTCTCTCAATCTTGGGGTCATGAATCTCCTTATCCTCATAAACTTTTTATGTTTGGGATGAGACGCAGCTTACCCTGAAGCCCTGTAATTTCAAAGGCCTAAGGTGCACTCTGATTCTATACCAAAGACTCGCTTAGGGCTGCGGTGGGCCGTTCCAATACTCCCATTGGAGGAGTGGTCTCTGATGATAGTTCTACATGTATTTTTAGCAGCTGGAAAATGGAACTGTGTTCTATTAGCGTGCGAGTACAAGGCATATCAAGATGTGCCCAATGACTTGATATCTTTAAGTTATTTTTATTAGTTTGCTTAACAAAAACTTTCTGCGTAATTGACCAGATCAGATATCTATTTAAACTAATTTGGTTATTGCGGTAATTAAAATACCACATCATTGCACTGTGATAAAATGTTGACAGTCTCCAGCTACCATGTCCAGTGGCTATTAGCACTGGCTCAGCTGCATGCGCTTTTCTTTGGGGTCTGAAACAATTAAACCATCCTTGGAAGAGGTTCGCTCACTGCAAAGCAGCTGAGATATGAAGCGTATAGCAAATAGCAAGTGGAGGCAAAATGAGAATTTCCATTGGCAAAGGTGAACCTGCCCTGTAATTCTTTCATGGTTACCAAATCCATACCAAGAAGCTGAAAGCCCATGTATAGGGTGATTACAACACGATGCCTCCTCACCCGCCTTACCATGTCAGTAAACTGATCCACACAGGTCATCCTAATCAACTCAGGAGTCGCCCGGGCTGCTCAGGGTGAAGGTCTTGGTCAG